GCGGCCGGCGTGCTGCGGCCGGCGCACCGCGCCGATCAGATGGCAGGAGCCAGGTGCTTCTCCTGGTCTCCCATGGGGTGCAGGGCCCACGCACTTGGGCCATCCTCCACTGCACTCCCTGGCCACAGCAGAGGGCTGGCCTGGAAGAGGGGCAACCGGGACAGAATCCGGCGCCCCGACCGGGACTAGAACCCGGTGTGCCGGCGCCGCAAGGCGGAGGATTAGCCTAGTGAGCCGCGGCGCCGGCCCACACCGACTTTCTCTTCTCTACATAGCTCCTCTCCAGCCACCCCGTGAAAACTCACTCATACACAGCAGGATCATAATAGGCTTTCATTTACCTCTATACCCACCAATCCACTTGTCGTTTAGCAAGTACTTACTAACCAAACCTTTTACTGAGCCTACCAGATGATAAAATCCCAACAAACCATCAGACATTGCCATGGTAGACTGCAAATAGAAGTCTGCCAGGGGCCGGCGCCGCGGCTCACTAGGCTAATCCTCAGCATTGCAGCGCCGGCACACCGGGTTCTAGTCCCAGTCGGGGCGCCGGATTCTGTCCCGGTTGCCCCCCTTCCAGGCCAGCTCTCTGCTGTGGCCAGGGAGTGCAGTGGAGGATGGCCCAGGTGCTTGGGCCCTGCACCCCATGGGAGACCAGGATAAGTACCTGGCTCCTGCCATCGGATCAGCGCGGTGCGCCGGCCGCAGCGCGCCGACCGCAGCGGCCATTGGAGGGTGAACCAATGGCAAAGGAAGACCTTTCTCTCTGTCTCTCTCTCTCACTGTCCACTCTGCCTGTAAAAAAAAAAAAAAAAAAGTCTGCCAGCACTGTCTCACATCCCTCTTATTGCGTGCTGTTTCTTTAATAAAAAATAAAAATAAATAGGGGCTGGCACTGTGGCGTAGTGGGTAAAGCTGCTGCCTGCAGTGCTGGGGTGCCAGTTGGAGTCCTGGCTGATCCACTTTCGATCCAGCTCTCTGCTATGGACTGGGAAAGCAGTGGAAGATGACCAAAGTCCTTGGGCCCCTGCACCCATGTGGGAGACTCAGAAGCTCCTGGCTCCTAGCTTCAGCCTGGCTCAGCCTTGGCCATTGTGGCCATTTGGGGAGGGAACCAGTGGATGGAAGATCTTTGTTTCTCCTCTGTAACTCTGCCTATCAAATAAATACACAAAATCTTTTTAAAAAATTACCCAAAATACATAGATACTCAAGAGTCAGCTCAGCCTACTGATCACCATCTTCAGAGGTTGGGACGAGGACCCAGAAATGTTACACTGGGGGCCAATCTCATGGCACAACAGTTTGAGCTGCTACAAGTGATGCTGATAAATGATGAGCACAGTTCAAGTCCTGGCTGCTCCACTTCCAATCCAGCTCCCCACTGTCTGGAAAAGCAACAGCACGTGGTCCAAGTCCTTGGGCCTCTGCCACCTACATGGGAGACCCAGATGAGTTCCAGAATTCTGGCTTTGGTTTGACCCAGCCCCAAACATTGCAGCCATTTGGGGAGTGAACCAGTAGATAAAAGCTCGCTGTCAAGTCTGCTTTTCAAATAAGTAAATAAATCTTTTTTGTTGTTGTTGATTTATTTACTTATTTGAAAGTCGGAGTTAAAGAGAGGAAGAAACAGAGATCTTCCATCTTGGGTTCACACCCCAAATGGTCACAACCATCAGAGCTGTGCTAGGCCAAAGTTAGAAGCCAGGAGCTTCATTCAGTTCTCCTATGTGGGTACAGGGGCCCAAGGACTTGGGCTGTCTTCTGCTGCTTTCCTAGCCACATTAGCAGGGAGTTGGATCAGGAGCAAAGCAGTCAGGACTTGAACCAGTGTCCATACGGGATGCTGGCACTGCAGACAGTGGCTTAACCCTGGCGCCACAGCGCCAGCCCCAAAATAAATCTTTTTTTTAAAAAATGTTGGGGCTGTGGCATAGTGTGTTAAGCCTCCGCCTGCAGCACCGGCATCCCACACGGGCGCCGGCTCAAGTAATGGCTGCTTCTCTTCTGATCCAGCTTTCTGCTATGGCCTGGGAAAGCAGTAGATCACCCAACAGGCGCTGTAGCGCAGTGGGTTAATCCTCCGCCTGTGGCGCTAGCATCCCATATGAGCGTCAGTTTGAGTCCCGGCTGTTCCACTTCCAATCCAGCTCTCTGCTGTGGCCTGAGAAAGCAGTGGAAGATGGCCCAAGTCCTTAGGCCCCTGCACTCGCATGGGAGACCTGGAAGAAGCTCCTGGCTTCTGGCTTTGGATTGGCGCAGCTCTGGCTCTTGTGGCCATTTGGGGAGTGAACCAGTGGATGGAAGACCTCTCTCTCTCCCTCTCTCAAATAAATAAAATCTTTAAAAAAAAAAAGTTGTTAGATTTATTTTATTTGAAAGTCAGAGTTACACAGAGAGAGGAGAGGCAGAGAGAGAGAGTTCCTCCATCTGCTGGTTCACTCCCCAATTGGCCACAATGACCGGAGTTGCACCGATCTGAAACCCGGAGCCAGGAGCTTCCCCTGGGTCTCCCACGCAGCAGGTGCAGGGGCCCAAGGACTTGGCCCATCTTCTACTGCTTTCCCAGGCCATAGCAGAGAGTCAGATCGGAAGTGGAGCAGCTGGGTCTCAAACCAGCACCCATATGGGATGCTGGCGCTCCAGGCCAGGGCGTTAACCCACTGTGCCACAGCACCAGCCCCGAACAAAAAAAATGTTAAGCTTTCTAGATGATTCTGATGACCAGTCAAGCTTAGGAAATGCCATCTATTTCATTTATACAGTAATTACTGCATGTTAAAGTGGAAAGGTTATCTTACACCTCCCACCTCAATAGTTCCTAGACAGAGAAAATACCCAATATTTCTTGATGAAACTATAAATAAAATTCCATTTTTCTATTATATTTCATCCCAGTGGTGAAACTTTAGAGGTACTTTCAATATGATAGCATTATGGGGCAATTAAAAATTGCCACTTTGGGCCGGCGCCGCGGCTCACTACGCTAATCCTCCGCCTAGCGGCGCCGGCACACCGGGTTCTAGTCCCGGTCGGGGCGCCGGATTCTGTCCCGGTTGCCCCCCTTCCAGGCCAGCTCTCTGCTGTGGCCAGGGAGTGCAGTGGAGGATGGCCCAGGTGCTTGGGCCCTGCACCCCATGGGAGACCAGGAAAAGCACCTGGCTCCTGCCATCGGATCAGCGCAGTGCGCCGGCCGCAGCGCGCCGACCGCGGCAGCCATTGGAGGGTGAACCAACGGCAAAGGAAGACCTTTCTCTCTGTCTCTCTCTCTCACTGTCCACTCTGCCTGTCAAATAAAATAAAATAAAAAAACAAAAACAAAAACAAAAAAACTGCCACCAATGAAGTATTCTCACCAGTTTTTTCCTTAAGAGGCCACTGATACAGCTAGATTTGAAGGGGCAAGCGGTGAAGTCTAAATCTAACACCCTAAGATTGGAGACGAATCAAACTTGAAGTCTACATGAATGAGTAGAAGCAGCATCCACAAGAAATCAGTGTTTGAGTATCAAATTCCAAAGATATCCCATTTTATTACAGAGCACACACAAAGCCCTTTATAGGGAAAAGTACTGTTCTTCTCCAAGATGACTTAAGTGCCTCTTCTGCAGTTTCCAGCTTTCTCTCCTACCGGTACTTCCCATGTCGGTTAAAGTGTTTGTAGAGATAACGGATGCGTTTGTTAAGATTGTGCAAGTCATCAATGAACATTCGATTTCCAACCATTCTTTTCTTTCGGATACAACGCTGCAATTCATTTCCCTTCCAGCCTTGAAGCCATCTGGGGCCCCTGATCAGTTCTTTTGGGTGCTTTTCAAAGTTTCCTGGGCAATGTGAAAGAATATTTGAATTAGTTTCAAGACAAGAGAACCCCGCCCAGACCAGCTAAGCCTTCAACCCACAGTTGTATCTTCCTGAGCAGTGCCTACAAGGGTCCTTCAAAAAGTTGATGGAAAAATGAAATTAAATATACTTTCATGCAAAAAAAAAACAAACATTGAAATACATAGGGGGTCTTTAAAAACATAATAGAAAATTCATATTATTTAAAAAGTATGCATGGATTTCAACATTTTTCCACACTCAAACTTATCCTTTAATTCTGTTTGTCAATTAATGTTTTGAAGCCCCCAAGATGCATTACAGTATGGTATTAAGAGCCAGACTGCTTAGAGTTCAAATTCTAATACTACTATTAACTAGTTTTGGAGAAATTACTTAATCTCCTAGCTCCTCGGTTTCTTCACCTGTAAAGTGAAAAGGTCGTTATAAAGATAAAGGTTAAATGAGTTAATACACACAAGGCATTCAGAAAGGTGGTGAACACCCATGAAAACAGGCATATAAACGTTTGCTCTTACTACTGGGCCCCGTACCATTCCCTACACATTAAAGCAGCAGTTGTTACAGCCTAGTCAACCATTCTGAAATGCGGTGCCACGGAGCCAAGTCTTACCGAGGATCCCGATGTTGTCATACACTCCGAACATGGCCCTCTTCTCGTTCCAACGATCCACTATTTTCGGGGGCGGGAGCGTGAGCCTCACACGGGACAATTCAGGCACACCTAGGGATGGAAAGAGAGAATGAATCTAAGCCGACTACTAAGAAGCCGTTCTGGAGGCATCTCAGCCACTTACCCAGAGAGAAGCTTCTACAGGCCAGGGGCACCCAGCCCCACAGCGTCCTCCAAGAGAGGGCCCCTGCCATTGCTCTGGTCCCTCGCCCTTAGCGACACACCAAACGAGCCCAAAAACGAGAACCAGGCGACTGCTACCAGCAAAGGTCTCACGAAGACACTCGGATGGGGGCAGCCATTTTGGACCTTACCCAGAGAGCTCTGCGAGCAGGGCCCGCCTCTGTCCCGCCTTCCCCACCCAGAGGCCCCGCCCCTCCAGTTCCGGACAGCGGCGATCTCAACAACTCGCGCCTCCCTTGTACTTCCGGTCTGCTCCCCGGAAGTTTCGATGCGCCAAGCAGCTGAGGGAAGTACCGAGTCGCTCTCTAGGGCATCCCAAAACTGGCATTTCAAAATTCACTTTCCTGCTCTGTTGGAGGTTCCTCAACTGTGAGGGAGATGAAGGATCAGAACCCGGGATCCGGAACTTGACAGTGTCAAACCAAGCCTGTGCCTCACCACAGTCTTGCGCTGCAGCTGTTTTCATTAACGCCATTTTACAGGGGGGAAAAATTGAGTTTCAGAGAGTAAGTGACTCTGGATGTCACAGCGGAGATGGCGGAACATGGATTACGGCCCCAGCCTGGACTTGCCTCCAGTCCAGGGAGTGACTGACAGTGTCACTGTTGCAAGGGCAGCACCATTGCCCAGCAAAGGGACGCGACCACTGTGGCAGGTGCTGCTAGGGCCTCCACAGCAAAAGGGGCAACGCAGGACCCGGTCGCGGCGAGCGCGAAGGTGGTGAGGCGGCGGCCCGGCTGCGGCGGTGAGGAGGAGCTGGACTCTAGGTCCCGCCCCCCGAGGGCGGGGCCGCCGGGCAGCCCCTGCGCTGTGATTGGCTGGCCCGTCCAGGGAGCATCGCGATTGGGCGCCTTGCAGCCGTTGAGTTTTGAACTCCGTTTTTGTGGCTTTGCCCGCGCGGTGCTTGACTCAGAGGCGGGTGTTTGTCGCAGCCCGCCGAGGATTGCCTGATCGCGCTGCCAACTTGAACACTGCCTCGCTGATTGGCGCGCATCGTGCACTCGTGTTTTTTCCTGCCATTTCAGCCCGACTGCGGGAGCCCAAGGATCGGCGAGTGAAGTCCTCAGGTGATGCGTGGTGTACAGGGAGCGGGGAGCGAAAGCCTGGGAAACTCGGGTGCTGTGTTCAGCAGTAGACAGTAGGATCTAGTACGCACATCCGTGGGGTGCGATTTGAGAGAAACAGACACAGATCCGCGACGAAATGTGTGCAATTTGGGCAAATAGCTATGTCCTTTTTTTTAAGAGTTTTTTTTTTTTAATTTATTTATTCGAGAGGCAGAGTTACAGAAAGAGAGAGGGAAAGACAGAAAGGTCTTCCATCTAATGGTTCACTCCCCGAATGGCTGCAACAGCTGGAGCTGAGCTGATCCGAAGCCAGGAACTCAGGGCTTCCTCTGAGTCTCCCACGTGGGTGCAGGGGCCCAAGCACTTGGGCCATCTTCCACTGCATTCCCAGAACAGAAGCAGAGAGCCGGATCGGAAGAGGAGCAGCCAGCATTTGAACGGGTGCCCCTATGGGATGCCGGTGCCTCGGCGCCTTTCTCAACCTCAATATCCTCATTTGTAACCTGGGTTGTATAATTATCGTGTGCATGGGATTAAGATTAAGAGAATTGGATCAAATATGGCACATTCAAATAGTTTAACAGAACCTAGTGCAGAGTGATCAGATAGTAAATGTTAATGCTCTCTCCTTCTGAAGCTAGGAAACCCACTAGTCCGTGCTTGGCCACTGTTCTGGCCCCAGGTGAGACAATCTTTCTATCCTTAAGGAATCTGGCACATAAAAGTGGAGATAATACTAACTGTACATGTTGACATACCACTTTACAGTTCTTTAAACTCTTTCATAACCCATTTTGATTCTGGAAGCAACTTTGTGAAATAATCAGAAATTAGGAAACCTGTTTTGGGGCAGGCAGTGTGGTGCAATAGGCTAATCCTCCACCTGCGGTGCTGGCATCCCATATGGGCACAGGTTCTAGTCCGTGCTGCCCCTCTTCATATCCAGCTCTCTGCTATGGCCTGGGAAAGCAGTAGAAGATGGCCCAAGTCCTTGGGCCCCTGCACCCACATGGGAGACCCGGAGGAAGCTCCTGGCTTTGGATCAGCTCAGCTCTGGCTGTTGCAGCCATCTGGGGAGTGAACCAGTGGATGGAAGACCTTTATCTCTGTCTCTCCCTTTCACAGTCCGTACCCTACCTCAAATAAATAAATCTTTAAAAAAAAAAAAAAAAGGAAACCTGTTTTACGGATGAGGCCCAAGTTAAGTAACATGATCAAGTGCAGTTACAATTAGAATTAAATTCTTGTCCAGGGTTGACCTCACATCCTCTTAAGATAATGTTATCAGGGGCCGGCGCCGCGGCTCACTAGGCTAATCCTCCGCCTAGCGGCGCCGGCACACCAGGTTCTAGTCCCGGTCGGGGCGCCGGATTCTGTCCCGGTTGCCCCCCTTCCAGGCTAGCTCTCTGCTGTGGCCAGGGAGTGCAGTGGAGGATGGCCCAGGTGCTTGGGCCCTGCACCCCATGGGAGACCAGGAAAAGCACCTGGCTCCTGGCTCCTGCCATCTGATCGGCGCGGTGCGCCGGCAGCGGCGGCCATTGGAGGGTGAACCAACGGCAAAGGAAGACCTTTCTCTCTGTCTCTCTCTCTCACTGTCCACTCTGCCTGTCAAAAAAAAGATAATGTTATCAGTTTGTTGTGAGGCTAAAAGCCATTATTTATTGGAGGTGGGAAAATAATAGAATCAGATAAAAAGGCAAACCTTAGATACAGGCCCTGATCCCTTAACCTGTTTGGTTTTCAGCCCTGTGGGCCGGTGAGTGAAGGATGTCTCCCCAGCTGTTTGAGTTCCATCTGCCCTTATCCCCAGAGGAGCTGTTGAAAAGTGGAGGGGTGAATCAGTATGTTGTGCAAGAGGTACTGTCCGTCAGACACCTTCCGCTACAGCTCAGAGGTAAGACTCCACACCTGCTGTTGGGCCTCCCACTTCAGAACAGCATCCCACGTACTGTAGTTACCATTCCTGGTGCAGTAGACCCTGGAGCTTCCTGATGGCAAGGCACCTGGCTTTCCTAGTCTCTGCCGTTTTCTCCCTAGCATTGCTTGGAGTGCATGACCCAAAGAGTGCCTAAGCCCATTAACTGCCTTCTCTGGATTATTCAGTAAGCAGTCTTGTACATGGTGACTCTTTGGGAGAAAATTATTTTAGATCTTTACCTTTTTATATACTAAAATAAACCCTGGTGGGTTTTAAAAGGTACAAGAAAAGAGAGCTTTCTCATGTCTGAAACCTGGCCTGAACTGTTTTATGTGAATGGTTTTTAGAGTCTGGATACCTTGTTTCCAAGATGTGCAATAATGGAAAATACATATGCCTAAAACTGCAACACAATAGAAAAATGCTGGGAGGAATGCAAAAGATATGCAAAAGACATTTTAGGTGATTTTGTCATTGTGTGTCTATGGTAGTGTTTACTTACACAGACCTCAATGGTGTAGCCTACCACACACCTAGGCTATATGGTGGGGGGAGGGGGAGGGCATGGTACATAGCCTATTGATCCTAGGGCCACCACGCATAAAACAATACAAGATTAAATCAAGTCCAAGAGAAAATGACTAAATCAAGAGACTTGACAAATGCTGGCCTAACACAGCATACTATTTATAGTAGATTTTTTTTAATAAGTAGGAATATAACCTAAAATAAGTATACAAAATACTTATGTATAGAAAATACATAAACCAGTAACGTAATTGTTTATTATCAAGTACTATATACTACATCTAATTGTATGTGCTATACTTTTTTTTTAAGCTTTTAATTATTGGCCAGCACCGTGTCTCAATAGGCTAATCCTCCGCCTGCAGCGCCGGCACCCTGGGTTCTAGTCCCGGTCGGGGCGCTGGATTCTGTCCTGGTTGCTCCTCTTCCAGTCCAGCTCTCTGCTGTGGCCCTGGAGTGCAGTGGAGGATGGCCCAAGTCCTTGGGCCCTGCAGCCGCATGGGAGACCAGGAGAAGCACCTGGCTCCTGGCTTTGGATCAGTACGGTGCCCCGGCCGCAGTGGCCATTGGGGGTTGAACCAACGAAAAAAGGAGGACCTTTCTCTCTCTCTGTCTCTCTCTCACTGTTCACTCTGCCTGTCAAAAAAAAAAAAAAGATTTTAATTATTTATTTGAGAGGTAGAGTTACAGACAGTGAAAGAGAGAGAGAGACAGAGAGAAACGCCTTCCTTCCGTTGGTTCACTCCCCAAATGTCCACAATGGCCAGAGCTGCACCAATCCGAAGCCAGGAGCCAGGTGCTTCTTCCTGGTCTCCCATGTGGGTACAATATGGGGTGTATGTGTCATACACACTGTCTTAACAATTGCCTGCCTATATGTGCTATACTTTTTCTTTCAAAGATTTTATTTATTTGAGAGGTAGAGTTACAGACAGAGAGGGAGAGACAGAGAGAAAGGTCTTCCATTCACTGGTTCATTCCCCAGATGGCTGCAACAGCCGGAGCTGGGCTAATCCAAAGTCAGGGGCTTCTTCCAAGTCTCCCACATGGGTGCAGAGGCCCAAGCACCTGGGCCATCTTCTGCTTTCCCAGGCCATAACAGAGAGCTGGGTGGGAAGAGGCAGCTGGGACACAAACTGGCACCCATATGGGATGCTGGCTCCTGGAGGCAGAGGCTTAGCCCACTATCACAGTGCCAGCCCCCAAATGCCGTACTTTTAGATGACTGACAGAAAGTAAGTTTGTTTACCAGCATTACCACAAACACAGGAGTGATGGCTTGCATTATGATAATTACTACAGCTACATCATTAGACATATGGGCTAGCATTGACCAAAATGTCATTTATTGTTAGGTGGTGTGTGACTGTATGTACCCATATGTTATCCACAAATCTATAAATAACCTAAATGAATTGCACATTACTAACAAGACCCCACGATGCCACTGTACTTGTTGGAGATAATCTTGTATTAGGTTGATTTGGAGAGGTTACACAGAGTAAAAACTGTGGCCCCAGACTGCCCAGATTTAAGGCCAGGCTCTAGTGCTCTGACCTTGAACAAGTTACCACTCTGTGCCCCAGTTTTCCCATCTGTAGAGATAGGAATAGTAAGCTACTTTACTGTCTCCTATGATAAAGGGGCTGGTTAGTGTGCAGCTTGAGTATGACTCCAGCCCATCTCCTCTTGACCTTTATGTCATGGTTCCCAGAGAAAGCTGCTTAATCTGTTGTCTGAAAGTGGAAAAGGAGATTTTCTATTTTTGTGCTTTTTCTTCTTTAAAATGCTACCAGAAGTTCCTGACAGCCTTAGCCAGAATTGAATCATGTGCCTATGTTGCTAATTATGGGTAAGGGAAATGGAATTACGGATGGGTTACATTGATCAGGCATTACCTTGGAATCTCGCTTGGCCTGAACATGTCACCATTTGATAAACAAGGAAGAAGATAGAGTGTGGAGGTTGACTGATGGGTGGCCAAACAATAACATCCCTATTATGTAGATATGTGTATCACCAATAGTGGGTGCTGCACACTATAGCAAGTTATTCCTCAGTTATTACAATGCATTATTTTTTAAAAGATTTATTTATTTTTTACTTGAGAGTTAGAATTACACATAGGGAGGAAAGGCAGAGAGAGAGAGGTCTTCCATCTGATGGTTTACTCCCCAGTTGGCCACAACAACCAGAACTGTGCCATTCCGGAGCAAGGAGCTTCTTCTGGGTCTCCCACGTGAACACAGAGGCCCAAGGACCCGGGCCATCTTCCACTGCTATCCCAGGCCATAGCAGAGAGCTGGATTCGAAGAGGAGCAGCCAGGACTAGAACCGGTGCCCACGTGGGATGCCAGCACTTCAGGCCAGGGCGTTGACCCACTGTGCCACAGCACCGGCCCCACAATGCATTATTTTTCAAGTGGATGGTCATTATAATCCTTTTTAGAACAACTACATTGTTTTGGTTTTGCTGTTTAGAATCCTCAATACAATTTCTGCTATAAATATACAAGATCAAATGATTTAAGGTATTCACCAACTATTTACTGATCATGTTTTGGGCCAAGCAGTCTTCTAAACACTGGCAATACAACAGTAAACAAAACACAAAATGACAGAGTTCTTTCTCTCAAGGCTCTCAGCAGGAAATAAATGTGAGGTGTGTTGGATGGTTGTAAAGACCAAGGAGACAAATAAAGCAAGATAAAGAGTGTGCCAGTGTAGAGACTGTCGTTTTATGTTGTATGAACACAGAACGGTTGCTCATAAGTGACCTTTTTTCTTAAAGATTTATTTATTTGGGCCGGTGCCGCGGCTCAATAGGCTAATCCTCCGCCTGCGGCGCCGGCGCATCGGGTTCTAGTCCCGGTCGGGGCGCCAGATTCTGTCCCGGTTGCTCCTCTTCCAGTCCAGCTCTCTGCTGTGGCCAGGGAGTGCAGTGGAGGATGGCCCAAGTCCTTGGGCCCTGCATCCCATGGGAGACCAGGAGAAGCACCTGGCTCCTGGCTTCAGATCAGCGCAGTGCACCAGCTGCAGCGCGCCGGCCATTGTGGGGTGAACCAATGGCAAAGGAAGACCTTTCTCTCTGTCTCTCTCTCTCACTGTCCACAAAAATTTTTATTTATTTATTTGAAAGAGTCACAAAAAGAGAGGAAAAGACAGATATTCTGTTCACTTTCCAAATGATCCCAAAGGCTGGAGCTGGTCTAGGCTAAAGCCAGGCACCTGGGACTATCTGAGTTTCCCATGTGGATGACAGGCTCAAGCATTTGGGCCATCTTTTGCTGCTTTCCCAGGCACGCTAGCAAGGAGCTGAATCAGAAATAGAGCAGCGGGGACTCTAACCTGTGCTCATGTGGTATGATGGCATCACAGGCAGCAGCTTATTTATTTGAAAGGCAGAGTTACAGAGAGGCAGAGAGAGAGATCTTCCATCTGCTGGTTCACTCCCCAAATGGCCACAACGGCTGGAACTGGGCCAATCTGAAACCAGGAGCCAGGAGCTTCTTCTGGGTCTCCCATGCAGGTGCAAGGGCCCAAGGACTTGGGCCATCCTCCACTGCTTTCCCAGGCCATAGCAGAGAGCTGGATTGGAAATGGAGCTGCCAGATCTCAAACCAGTGCCCATATGGGATGCTGGCACTCTAGGCGGTGGTTTTACCCACCATACCACAGCACTGGCCCCAAAGTTAATGTTTTGATTTGGAATAAATATTTGCACTATAGTTATATAGGATTTAACAATATTTAGGTGAAAGGTACAGGAACTGTACTGTTACACCACTTTTTCGTAATTTCAAAATAAAAAGTTAATTTAAAAAGTTCTCAGTTTGCTATAACTTGGACAAGTCACATAAGAACTATGAAGACGTAGTTTCTTTTCCCATGAGATAGGCATGAGTGTCTGCTGGATCTAGCTTAGATGTGTGGTGAAACTCAACTGGGGTTTTAATTGTAAAACATATATATCATTATAATTATTGCAGGTTTCAAGGAAAAGTTTTCCATCTGTCTTTTGTGATTCTAGCAATTAAAGCAATAAACCTGGTTTTCTGCCATGAATAGAATTTACCAAAAAGGTCTCTTTTCCCTTCCAAATTGACCAGTTTCTTTGATCCTTTGTAGCATTTCAGGCTGCCTTCCGAGCTCAGGGGCCCCTGGCTATCCTGCAGCACTTTGATACCATCTACAGCATTTTACAGTAAGTGAAACACCCAGCGTCACGTGGTGGCTATTGCCCTGACCTCGCATGCTAGTCCTGAAACTCCAGATTCTAAGTGCACGGATAAATGGTCATAGGTGCACATCTCTACTGATCAGCATTTGCCCAATTTGCTGCTGTATGTATTCCGTTGAGCAGTTTCCCATGTTTGTCAAATGTAGGATTCCTCAGGTTCGATCTGAACTACTACAATGGCTCTGCAGGTTCCTGTCTCACCCTCGCACTTTGTTTCCCTTGTAGTCACTTTCGAAGTATAGACGCTGGCCTCAAGGAAGATACTCTGGAATTCCTGATGAAAGGTGTTTATGGGTCAGAGAGTAGGGGGCGGAAGGTTCCTGTGGTTTGTGTGTTTATTATTTCTTCCATTTTGTCAGCCACATGATGATATCAAGGCTGTTGTGATTCAGTTGGTCTGGCTAAGCCCTGGGACCTTTGACATCTTAAGGTCTGTAATCTTGGTGGGCGATACAGAGTAGTGTGCGTTCGCTGTAAGGGCAGACCAACACAAACTACTGCTTCCTACTTTTGAGCTGCCTCTCTTGAATAGAGGTCAATCTTCCAGTTGCCAGGGAGAATTGTGGTAACTGGAGTGAGGGAGCAGGAACAGGGCACGTTTGGGTTGTCAGGAGTCAGAGGTCCCAAAGGACTTAGCTTATAGCATGGCCACTGAGAGATGAAACACAGATCTTTGGTAATCTGATGGCTGCAAGTGCTGAATTTCGTGAAGTTGGAATACATGAAGAAAGCAAATGAAACTGACTCCCGGATTCTCCCCTCACAGTGGTGTCGCGCCACTCCCAGGAGCTTCCAGCCATCTTGGATGATGCAACCTTGAGTATATCAGATAGAAATGCCCATCTAAATGCGCTGAAGATGAACTGCTATGTTCTCATACGCCTCCTGGAATCTTTCGAGACCATGGCCAGCCAGACAAACCACATGGACCTGGACCTTGGTGGGAAGGTAATTTGGAGTCCTGGCTCACTTCCTATGAGGTCTAGGGGGATAGGGGAATTGAGAGTAAAGAAGAGAATCCAATGAATCTGAAAATACTTTTGCCCTCTTAGGATTTAGGAAAAGGTACTCAAAAGTATCCTCACATTTCCTTCCCTGATAAGTAGTACCTGTGATCCTTCTCCTATGTTACCTTCTACCTTATCTTGATACTGGATAGTTTGGGCACTCAGACCAGCAGAGTTTGGCCCTCTGTTTCTTTATTTTTTTCCTAAGTGTGTATTTATGCTCCTTTTAGGGTAAGAAAGCCCGGACCAAGGCAACGCATGGTTTTGATTGGGAGGAAGAGAGACAACCAATTCTTCAGCTTTTAACGCAGCTACTCCAATTAGATATTCGTCACCTGTGGAACCACTCAATCATTGAAGAGGAGTTTGTCAGGTAGGAGTTAGGAGGGCTACAGCTAAGCCAGAGCCATGAGGGCTCTGCTGCCAGAAATGCCTCTCAAATACTTCACTGTACGCCTCGGTTCTGCCTGTAATACATGCTAGTACAATCGCAGCATGGGACTATTGGAAAGTAGATAACAGAGTGTTAGAGACAAATGTGAATCTCTCATCTCTCATGCCCATTTATTCATGAGACGGTATTTACAGAGAATCTCCTCGGTGTGTGCCTGCCATTGTTATTGGCTCTGTAAACAGATGTTCTTGTCCCCCGACCCTGGAGTTTATAGTACACAATAGAAGACAAATTTTAAAACAAGTAAGAAATATATATATGTATGTTTTATGGTTTATTGCTATGAAACAAAGAAGAGCGAGATGGGTAATTTGATGGCAGAGTGTTGTGATTTTATTATTTTTTAAAAAGATTTATTTATTTGTGGGACTGATATGGTGTAGCCAGTAAAGCCTCCAGCTGCTGCACCTACATCCCATACGGGTGCCAGTTCATGCCCCGGCTGCTCCATCTCCAATCTGCTGCTTTCCCAGGCCATTAGCAGGGAGCTGCATCAGAAGCAGAGTGGCTGGGACTTAGCCTGGCTGGATAGGAAGTAAAGCAGCCAGGACATGAACGAGTGCTCATAGGGGACGCCAGCATTGCAGGTGGCAGCTTTACCTACTGTTCTACAGTGCTGGTGATCTTGAAGGCAGGAACGTACCCAGCTGGGATCAGCAAAGCAACTTGATACAGAAGGCGCTTGGAGGGTGAAAATGAGCAGACTCCAACTTTGGGGGCTTTAGTCATTGAACAGAGGCCCTGATAGGAATGAATCCAGACAGCTGATCTGCTTGTCTATTTTCTGCATTTCTCAGTTTGGTTACTGGCTGTTGCTATCGCCTTCTGGAGAACCCCACCATCAATCACCAGAAGAACCGGCCCACACGGGAAGCCATAACACACCTGCTTGGTGTGGCCCTGACACGTTATAACCACATGCTCAGTAAGTTATCCCTCCACCTGCTCTACCTTTTGCATTTTGCCCACCATTTCTCATGCGCGTACATCCACAGGTGCCACTGTGAAGATCATTCAGATGCTGCAGCACTTTGAACACCTGGCACCTGTGCTGGTGGCGGCTGTGAGTCTATGGGCGACAGATTATGGAATGAAGAGCATAGTGGGAGAGATTGTAAGGTGATTCTTCCTTTCTCAGAGTTCCTAATTCCCATTTTCCTCAAGGAGGGATAAAGAAAGATAGGAATTACATTCCTGCAGCAGTAGATTCCGTCAGACATTAGACACGATTCTTACCTTCCCTTACTGGGAGCTGAATCTCTGAGCTGCCTTGCTGCAGCTGTGTTTCCTTCGTTTCGTAGAGAGATTGGACAGAAATGTCCCCAGGAGCTGAGCCGGGATCCTTCAGGGGCAAAGGGCTTTGCAGCCTTCCTGACAGAACTTGCAGAACGTGTCCCAGCTATCCTGATGTCCAGTATGTGCATTCTGCTCGATCATCTGGACGGAGAGGTAGGTAGACTGCTTGGAAGTGCTGAGGTTCTCTTGGACACATTAAGTCCGTTATTGAAAGGCTATTTCCTTTTTATATTATTTTAACTTTTTAATTTTATTTGGAAGGCAGAGAGAGTTTAATCTCCCATCTATTAGTTCACTCCCCAAATGCCCACAATAGCCAGGCTTGAGCTGGGAGCCAAGAACTTCATGTGGGCCTCATGGTTCCCATGAGTGACAAGGACCCAAGTACGTGGCCCATCACCTGCTACTTTCCAGGGTGTGCACTAGCAGGAATCTAGAATTGGGGGCTGTGCCAGGACTTGAACCTAGACACTCTGATATGGGATGCAGGTATTCCAAGCAGTGCCTCAACCTCTGTGTCAGATACCTGCCCCAGCTATTTCTTAACAGGATGAGAAAACTTTCACAGGAAGCAACGTTGTTCAGGCTTATCACTAGGGCAGTGAAACAGTTCCAGTTTATTGAACAAGGGATCCTTTATTAATCTTATTTCAGTGTCGTGCTGGGTTTATCCAGGTCTAGCGGGTGAAATAACAGTTCCACAGCTTCAGTCTGTTGAAAGTGACTCGGCTTTGATTCTGAGTGCCCTCCTTCCCTCTTCCTACCATCTGGTTTGCCCTGCTTTCGCCAAACCTGGTCCTTTCTCCAATCAACCCTTGTCATCTCTCATTCTCTCATCCCTGAATGCTGACCTGTCTGCTTCCCTAACTGATGCTGGGCACTCCTAGGCGAATGTCAAGGAGAAAAGACAATCCCCCGTTTATCTAATTCACTTTAACTTTGTAGTCCATGTTCTCTATCTCTTGGCTTGGCAAGAACCCTCTACTCCATTCTCCACCAGATGTTGTCAGGGACTTGACTTGCTTGATGCTCTGGAGCTGTTTTCTGCTGGTTTTTTTTTTTTTTTTTTTTAAGTTTTACTTATTATTTATTTAGAAGGTAGTGCAACAGAGAGAGAAAGAGAAGTCTTACATCTGCTGGTTCATTTCCCCAAATGACCACAACAGCTAGGTCTGGGCCACGCCAAAGCCAGGAACCGGGAGCTCCGTCCAGGTCTCCGATATGGATGGCAGGGGCCCAAGGACTTGGGCCATCATCTTTTACATTCCCAGTCACATTAGCAGGGAGCTGGATGAGAAGCAGAGCAGGGGCTGGCACTGTGGCGTAGCAGATAAAGCCCCGCCACCTGTGAGCCGGCATCCCACATGGGCGCCGGTTCGAGTCCGGGCTGCTCCACTTCTGATCCAGCTCTCTGCTATGGCCTGGGAAAGCAATAGAAGATGGTCCAAGTCCTTGGGCCCCTGCACCTGTGTGGGAGACCTGGAGAAGGCTCCTGGCTCCTGGCTTCTGGCTTCAGATCAGTGCAGCTCTGGTCATTGCAGCCAACAGGGGAATGAACCAGCGGATGGAGGACTTTCTCTCTCTCTCTCTCTCTCTGCCTTTCCTCCTCTCTCTGTGTAACTCAGACTTTCAAATAAATAATAAATCTTTAAAAAAAAAAAAAAAAGAAGAAGAAGAAGCAGCAGCAGAATGGCTGGACTTGACCTGGCACTCCCATATGTGATACCAGCATTGCAGCCAGTGGCTTAACCTGCCACACCACAATGCTGGCTCTTGATTTCTGCTTTTCTTTGTCTCGGTTTCCATCAGTAAAGTGTAGGAGGAAAGGGGATATTATCACTTCTCAGCCTTTTGGCTAAGATCAAGTGTGGAAAGAGGATATTTATAAGTAAGAATTAAAGACGGCCAGGTTGTGACACAGCAACGGAAGCTATTGGCTGCGATGCTGGCATTCATATCGGAGCACCGATTCTAGTCCTGACTGCTCCACTTCCAATCCAGCTCCTTGCTGATGTGCCTGGGAAGGCAGCGGAAGATGGCCCAAATACTCGGACCCCTGTCTCCCTATAGGAGACAAAAGATGGAGGACTTGACTTCAGCCTGGCCCCAGCCCTGACCATTGTAGCCATTTGGGAAGTGAACCAGCAGATAGAAGATCTCTTTCTTTCCCTCTCACTCTCTCACTTTCTCTAACTCTGCCTTTCAAGTAAAATAAATAATAAATCTTTAAAAAACAAAAAAAAGAATTTAAGGCTTTAAGACCTCAGGTAGGGGCAAGCAGGCATTTGGCTTAGCAGTTAAGACACTGCCTGAAACGCCCACTTCCCACATTGGTGTACCTTGTTTGAGTCCTCACTCTGTCCTGAGTTCACCTTCTTACTGATGATCACCCTGGCAGGCAGCAGGTGATGGCTCAAGTATTTTGGTCCCTGCTACCCACACGGGAGACCTGGATTGAGTTTCTAGCTCCTGGCTTTAGCCTAGCCCAGCCTCAGCTGTTGTGGGTATTTAGGGATTAAATCAGCAGATGACAGATCTGTTTGGAGAGGGAGAGACACAGAGAGAGGTCTTCCTTCCATTAGTTCACTCCCCAGATGGTGGCAACAGCCGGAGCTGTGCCGATCCAAAGCCAGAAGCCAGGAGCTTCTTTCAGGTCTCCCATGCGTGTGCAGGGGCCCAAGGACTTAGGCTATCTTCTACTGCTTTCCAAGGCCATAGCAGAGAGCTGGATTGGAAAAGGGGTAGCCAGGATTAGAACCAGCGCCCATATGGGATGCTGGCACCACATGCGGAGGATTAACCCACTGAGCCACGGCGCCGGCCCTGCTCTCTGCCTTTCAAAAAATTAAATAAATTTATAAAAGGACCTCATTGAAATATAGTAGTAAATGCTTCTCAAATGCATGTTGGTGGATGAATGCTATTTCATGTTCAGTTACCACCATGCTTACCTAGGTGAACCTTTTGGGAACTTGGTTTGAGCTCTTGTTTTGTCCCTGTGTTCTCCTCTGAGCTGACAAGTCTCGGGGATTCAGCTGTGATCTTGGGCATGATTACCTAGGCTGTTGACCAAATAGTCATAGCTGAGCACAAGCAAGCTTAACCTTGACTAAAGGTGGCGCCATAGCATTATGGGTAAAGCTCCTGCCTGCGGCACCAGCATCCAATACAGGTGCTGGTTCAATTCCCAGCTGCTCCACTTCTGATCCAGCTCCCTGCCAATGGCCTGGGAAAGCAGTGGAAGACATTCCAAGTGCTTGGACCCCTGTACCCATATGGGAGACCCAGAAGAAGGGCCTGGCTCGTGGCTTTAGACCAGCTCAACTCCAGCCTTTGTGATCATTTGGAAAGTGAACAAGCAGATGGAAGATCTCACTGTCTGTCTGTCTCTCTCTGTTAACTCTGCCCTTCAAATAAATAAGTAAATCTTAAAAAAAAAAAAAGGCCTTGCCCCTTCTTTGTGTCTGGGTGGGCGCAAGAGTTTCAGGAAATGAGTACAGAGGTTCATACCTACTTGATTTCTCACCCCTAGAATTACGTGATGCGCAATGCTGTGCTAGCAGCCATGGCAGAGATGGTACTGCAGGTCCTGAATGGCGATCAGCTGGAGGAAGCAGCCCGAGAAACCAGAGACCAGTTCTTGGATACCTTGCAAGCCCACGGCCATGACGTCAACTCCTTTGTGCGGAGCCGGGTTTTGCAGTTGTTCACCCGTATCGTTCAGCAGAAGGTGAGCATGCTTCTGTGTGAGATATACAGCCAAAGATAACGTCTCCCCAAAGGAAGAGCCTAGAGTTCATTTACTACCAGCAGTAAGTCTTCCTCTACTAAGAATAAGGATGCCTGGCTCCATTTAAGGACTGTAATGTGTCTTACCCACCACAGAGAGAATTATGCACCTATTTTACGTCCCACATAAAGCCTCTTTACAGTGAACAAGTAGTTCGGTTCAGGGTACACTCCCAGGTCACCTTGGACAGCGTGGATGCTGAGATGGAAACTGATCCTATTCTGCCTTCCTCCTGTAGGCTCTGCCCCTGACCCGGTTCCAGGCTGTGGTGGCCTTAGCAGTGGGACGTCTGGCAGACAAGTCAGTGCTGGTGTGCAAAAATGCCATCCAGCTGCTGGCCAGTTTTCTGGCCAATAATCCCTTTTCCTGCAAGGTAAGTAGACTTGGTCTCTCTAAAAGAGAAAGAATTAACTAGAAGGATGAAACTGGGTCACTTAGTGACTCTGATGTTCATTTTACCTTGACAGCTTAGTGATACTGACCTTGCTGGACCACTGCAGAAGGAGACCCAGAAATTACAAGAGATGAGAGCCCAGAGGCAAGCTGCAGCTGCCCGTGAGTATTACCGACTAGCAGTCCTCACCCCCATAGCCGGCAGCTCCGGTGAGAGGGACTTACGTGAGACTGTCATGCAGCTGCAGAACTCGACCCCGCAGAGGAGTGGGAAGCCATGCTGCTGGAGCTGAAGTCCACGCTGCAGCAGCTTCTGCAGCCTCCCCAGGAGGAAGAGGAGATTCCTGAGCAAATCGCTAGTACTGAGACTGCTGAAGACGTGGAGAGACGCATCCGTCAGCTGCTTGCCAAAGCCAGCTATAAGTATGTGGAAGAATCAGTATTCTGTGTTTAGGCGTAGAGGTAGCCTTTGAGAATCTTACACAAGATTTCTTTAACATGAACTGTACTTAGGTATACTGCAATCGGGTGTTAGTAGGTGTTCGTATATAGTGATGGTCTGATCAAGGCATTGGCATGCTTTGCTACTTCCATAAAGGTTTTAAAAGACTACTCAGACAACTAAATATATTTTATTGTAATTAAACATCAGTCCCCTTCATTTGAAGAAGTCCTGTAGATAGAATTCTATTTGTGTAATCTTGAGTAACTTGCTTAACTTTCTGTATCTTACTTTTGCTATCTATAAAAGTAAAGACATCCATTAACTCATCTCTAATGACTTCCTAATTTTGAACTCTGGGCCAACAAATATCGAACTTGCTTAATATAACTACCTTGGTCTTCAAATCAGCCTTGTATGAGCCCTGGTCTTAGAGAAAGGATCCCTCCCAGAGTTCGTGTGCCTGGAACTTCAAAGCAGTTTAGCGAGCCCTTAGTGAGAGCTGTCCTTAACCCTTAGCCACAGTTGCTTCCCTGATTCTTACCAAATTAGGCTGTTGTAGGGGGAGGCTGGTTTACCTTCTGGCTCTACTATCTCTCCAGTGTCTCCGAATTTTGCCAGAGTATGAGCACTGTAGTTTTAGAACTGCTGCTTTCTTCTTCCTCCAAGCATTCTAGTCTTTTCTCCTATCAACTGGCAGATTTCTTCTCATGTTAAAAATGTTCAGGACCTACATTGTGGCACAGTGGGTTAGGCTGCCATCTGCAGTGCAGGCATCCCATGTGGCCACCTGTTGGTGTCCCGGCTGCTCTACTTCCAGTCCAGCTCCCTGCTAATGCACCTGGGAAAGCAGTGGAAGATGGCCCAAGTGCCGGGGCCCCTGTCACCCATGTGGGAGACTGGGATGAAGCTCCTGGCCTGTTGTAGTCACCTGGGTAGTGAGCCAACAGATGGAAGATCTCTTTCTCTCTCTGTCTCCCCCTCTGTTTCTCTTTGTTAACTCTTTCAAAATAAATAAATAAAAAGAGATTGCACCCCCTCCTTCAGAAATGCTTACCAGTAGATGCTGGGATAAGATCTTAATGACGAAAATTTGTGGTCTAACAGCCAGCAGCTTTTCTTCTGCTTGTTGTATAATTTGCTTTAAGTTTGTGTAACTTTGGGCAGCTGATGTTATCAGATTGTCTTGCCCATTTTGCAGACAAGGAAACAGATTGGGTTAGTTGGCTCGCCTGTCACACGCACAGCTAGTAAATAGTAGAACTTGACCTAAGGCTTTAGATTATGAAAGCAGAGTTGTTTTGCTTCCAGCTACTATGTTTTAAACATATTACAACAAAACTTTTTTTTTTTTTTTTTTTTTTTTCTGAAAGACAGCTCTCATCTGCTGGTTCACTCCCCAAATGGCCACAACAGCCCTGGCTTGTCCAATCAGAGCCAGGAGCCAAGAAATCAATCCAGGTCTCCCACATGGGTGGCACAGATCCACCTCTACGGAGTCATTTCTGCTGCCTCCCAGAATATGCATCAGCACCAGCAGGAAGCTAGAATTCAGGAGGCGCTCCAGGGCAGAATGTCAGCACTATGCCAAATACCTGCCCCAAGAGCAACATTTATTGAGAATTATCCTAAAGGTAGCACACAGATAGCCAATCAAACCTATGTTCTTTTTCCCCTTTCTGCACAAGTAATAGAATTCTCTATCCATCGTCCTGGCACCTTGCTTTTTTCAATTAAATTTTTTTAAGATTTTTTTTTTTTTTTTTTTGAAAGGCAGAGTTGTGGAGAAAGGGGGAGAGAGAGAGAGAGAGAGAGAGAGAGAGAGAGAGAGAGAGATTGATTGATTGATTCCATCTACTGGTTCACTCTCCAGATGACTGCAACAGCCAGGACTGGATCATTCCAAAACCAGGAACCTGAAACTCCATCTAGGTCTCCCACATGGGTGCAGGGGCCATCTTCTGTTGCTTTTCCCAGGCTATTAGTAGGGAGCTGGATCGGAAGAGGAGCAACCAGGACTCAAACTGGCTCCCATATAGGATGCCAGCTTTGCAGGTAGCAGCTTAACCTGCTGTGCCACAGTGTGACCCCTCAATCATGTATATATACACAGATAGCTTCCTTGGTTTTTTTATGGCTACATAGAATCCCATTGTGTGAATTTACAGTCATTAGGCAACTATTAAATTTTATTTTTTTCTTAATTTCTTTTTAAGATTTATTCATTTATTTGAAAGAGTTACAGAGGGGCCGGTGCTGTGGTGCACTAGGTTAATCCTCCGCCTGCGGTGCCAGCATCCCATATGGGCGCTGGTTCTAGTCCCAGTTGCTTCTCTTCCAGTCCAGCTCTCTGCTGTGGCCTGGAAGGGCAGTGGAGGATGGCCCAGATGCTTGGGCCCCTGCACCTGCATGGGAAACCAGGAAGAAGCACCTGGCTCCTGGCTTTGGATTGGCGCAGCTCTGTCCGTTGCGGCCATTTGCAGAGTGAACCAACTGAAGGAAGACCTTTCTCTCTGTTTCTCTCTCACTGTCTGTAATTCTACCTGTCCAAAAAAAAAAAAAAAAAAAAAGCCTTGAAAAGAGAGAGAGGAGAGACAGAGATCTTCCATCCACTGGTTGACTTCCCAAATGGTTGCAATGGCCGAGATTGGGCCAGAATGAAGCCAGGAGCCAGGAGCTTCCTCTGGGTCTCCCACATGGGTACAAGGGCCCAGGCACTTGGGCCATCTTCCACTGCTTCCCAGGCACATTAGCAGGGAGCTGGATAAAAAGCGGAGCAGCCAGGACTCGAACTCGTGCCAATGTAGGAAGTTGGTACTACAAAAGGCATCCTAACCCACTATACCACAACACTGGCCCTTTTTCTTAACTTTCAGTTAGCCAAGTTTTTAAATGGGTAATTTTATGGTTTTAAAACTAGGGGCCAGCACTGTGGCATAGTGGGTAAAGCTGCTGCCTGTATCACTGGCATCCTATATGGGCGCCGGTTCAAGTCCCGGCTACTCTACTTCCACCTGGGGAGTAAACCAGCAGATGAAAGACCTCTCTCTCTCTCTCTGCCTCTGCCTCTGTAACTCTGCCTTTCAAATAAATAAATAAATCTTTAAAAAAAAACTTGTAAAAGCTGGAGCTGGTGTCTAGCCAGGCAGTTGAGACTCTTGCATCCCGCATCAAAGTTCCCAGGTTTAGTTCCTGCCTCCAGCTCCTGCCTCCAACTTCATGCCAGACATTGAAGGCCTCGATCAAGTGTTTTCGTTTATTTGTTTGTTTCAATTTGAGAAAGAGAAAGAATACTCCCATCCACTGGTTCACTCACCCAGTGGCCTGCGTCTGCCAGGGTTGGGCTGATCGGGAGCCAGGCACCCAATCCAGGTCTCCACATGCAGTGACAGTACTTGGGCCATCACCTGCCTCTCAGGATCTGCACTGACAGGAAGTGGAGTCAACCCAGGCACTCTGACATGGGACAAGGGCATCTTCAGGGAGTGTGTGGGTCCCGCCCCTTCGTGTGTCCTGCTCAGCTGTGTAAGCGTGAGGAGTGTTCCTTTTCTTTGGGCATAGGTCCGGGGACTTGATGGAATCATGAGAGGCTCCCTTGCAGAAGGCTGCAGTGACCCTGTGGTGGGGGCCAAGTTGGTGACAGGCTGGCATCCTTTCAGACAGGCCATCATTCTCACCCGCGAAGCCACAGGCCACTTCCCCGAGTCCAAGCCCTTCAGTCATGTAGACCCAGAGGATTCGGAGGAGACCAGGTTCCTGAATGTCTTAGCGACCATCTTCAAAGGTAATCCCTTCTTCAAACAACATCTGTACTCGTGTTTATGGAGCATTTACTTTATACGCCGGACGCTGGCCAGGCTGACAGAACCTGGTCGGAAAGAGGCCAGGAGGCAGTTGGCAGTGCTTTTGCTCTGAATGGAAGCAGCCCCGGGACCTAAGACTGATAATCACAGGGTAGCTCTCCAGACTCCAGAGGTCCTTGGAGGGTCTTTTTTGAGAAATATTTTAGAGTAGGTTCTAATTTTGTACCTTCACATTGTGGAAGAAAATATTGAGGGATCTTGATAGCTATTGGATTCCCCCATTACCCTTGAACAAAAACCACGCTGTCCTTGTGTAACTCCCAGGCCCAGCAGTTGCCACGCAGAAGAATCCCCAGGCAGAGAACACAGGCCCGGAGCAGCCTGTCGGTACGGACAAGCCCAGCGCGTCAGAGCTGGAGGAGGCCCGGGGCAGCGATGACCTGGTGAAGCAGGAGATGCTGGTGCAGTACCTGCAGGATGCCTACAACTTCTCTCGCAAAATTACAGAGGCCATCAGCATCATTAGCAAGATGATGTATGAAAACACAACCACAGGTATGCTGGAGCCACTTTCTATGGGGACTGGGTCCTGGGGTTGGAGCCCTGGTCTTGTCCACATTTTAATGATGATCTGACTGCTTATTTAGAAAGCGAGGACACTTCTGTTTGCTTTGTAAAGCCCCTTGTTGATTATATATTATAACACACAGAGTTCTTCACAATGAGGTGTTGCAGGAAGCCAGCCTTCTCAGGCAAATGACATATTCTTTCTTTAGGTATTAGGAGCGTTTTGCCAAGTAGATGGGTGACATTTGTGTCTGTCCTCTCAGTGGTACAGGAGGTGATTGAATTTTTTGTGATGGTGTTCCAATTTGGGGTACCCCAGGCCCTGTTTGGGGTGCGCCGCATGCTGCCTCTCATCTGGTCTAAGGAGCCTGGTGTCCGGGAAGCTGTGCTTAACGCCTACCGCCAGCTCTACCTCAACACCAAAGGGGACTCGGCCAGGTGCGTGGAGGACTTTCACCTCTGCTGACTGCGCGAGCCCAGCTTCTCATAGGCCCTTCTAGTCTCTAAGGGAACGGGGAGGGCATTCCTGCAGAGGAGGTGCCAGTCCACAGGCGGGTCCACACTGGGGTCAGACTGGGCAGCGTGTCCAGTGACGCCCAGCCTGAGCAGTGATTTGATGCGATGGTGGGAGAGCCCCGACAACCTGTTGGCCAGCCTCAGCCAGTCCATCTTTACGCCCGCATCTCTTCTGTTCCCCTCAGAGCCAAGGCCCAGGCTTTGATTCAGAACCTCTCCTTGCTGCTAGTGGATGCCTCAGTTGGGACCATGCAGTGTCTCGAGGAAATCGTAAGTCTTCTCACGGTTTATGCAGCAGGTGTTAGTGAGGAGCGCCTGGTCAGCCCTGCAGGGGCTGAAGCTGCTCGTTTCCATAGCCCAGCCTTAAAGGAGACGGCGTCCAGCGGGCGACAGGAAACAGAGCACATTCTTACAGCAGTGCAGCAGGTGGACAAGTGCCAGAATTGGGTAGCACAAGTGATGAGTGACGATGATAATTAGACAACAGCAACACCGCTTGCCTGGCATGTAGATGCCAGGCACTGTTGTGGTTTTCTAAAGTAGATTTTAGAATGTTTATTTTTGTGAAAGGCAGAGAGACAGTGGACAAAGCCCAGCTGGTGTCTTCAGCATCGCACCAGACAGCCAGCCCAGGCACTGTTGTGAGCACTTGGCTCATATTAACTTGCTTAACTCTCCCAACTACCCCATGAGGTCCTGCTGGCTGAAGTGTGACCCCAGAGTCAGGCAGAACTCGACAACCTTCAGCTTCTGTGCTGTCCTCAGGAGTGCAGAGCGGGAGGGAGAAGGCTGGGGGTGGCGTGGCCACGGGAAGTCTCCTGCAGGTGGAAGGACCTCTGTGGGGGAAGACAGGAGGAAGAACGCTGCAAACAGAACCTAAGCAAGAGCCCTTACTTACTGTAAGCTCAAGGAAAACGCTTTGTTTGCGGCTCAAAATTCTTAGGCAGAAGAGACGATAAAGTTCAGAATGTGAGTTGGAGCTGAACTGTGAGGTCCCTGGATCCCCTCAGGAGTCCAGGATTTCGACTTTGTTAGCCCGCGGTCCCAGCACTTTCACAAGGCCAACTTGCTCTGGAGCGTTTGTGCTGTGGGGACGGAAGTGGAGGAGGTGCTGGCTCGCACAGTGTCCTTGGAGGAGCACTACCACCTGCCACCTTTCCTCCTCAATGGGGTGAGGCAGGAGCCTGGGAGGGAGCTCATGGGCTGGCTCCTAGTCAGGAGCCCCTACGACAGGGCAAGGGGAGCTATTTCAGATCCGTGAGCAGCGGGCGTGTGGCGGGGAGAAACGTGTCTGCAATAGCATCCCGGCTGCTCCGAGAAGCTGAGGACAGGGCAGGAAGGGGGCTGCCGTAGCCGTGCGGTGGCAGGGGCAGGAGGGATCGCTGCAGAATTGGACTTAAAAGAAGACAGATCCTCAGCGCGGTGCGCCGGCCGCAGCGCGCCGGCCGCGGCGGCCATTGGAGGGTGAACCAACAGCAAAGGAAGACCTTTCTCTCTGTCTCTCTCTCTCACTGTCCACTCTGCCTGTCAAAAAAAAAAAAAAAAAAAAAAAGAAGACAGATCCTAAAGGCAAAATAGGAATAAGTATCTGATTCCTGAAAAATGAGGTGACTGGGGTAGGCATTGTTTGCAGCAGGTTAGGCTGTGCCTCAGATACCTGCGTCCCATGTTGGAACGCCAGGAGTGCGATCCTGCCTCCACTTCCAGTCCAGCTTTCTGCTAATGTGCACCCTGGAAGCAGCAGTGTTTGGCCCGCTCCAGCCCTAGCTGTTGCAGGCATCTGGGGATTGAACCAGTAGACTTAAAAAAAAAATCAGGTGACTGAGATTGTAAGCATATGTAACTAGCAGAGTGTTGGTACTGTTGGTAACATGTAAAGGCAAAAAAGGATGTTGGCTTCATTTTAGACAGTTTGAGCTTGTAGTAACAGCAGAAAAACCTAGAAATCTCTAGAATGTAGTCAGGACCCACCTGGAATGCATAACAGTCAGTTTTGATGTGTCACTTGAATAAACAGTTTTCAAAGTACAAGAGTAAAAATGTAGAGACCGGAAGTACCTCCTCCTCAGGCCTCCTTGCTCTCCCCTTATCCTAAGTATTGCTTGCCCCCACTTCAGGTCATTAGCGGCATCCTCAGAGACATGGAGCGAGAAAAGGGAATTGTGAGGTTTTGGCCTGAATCTTTTCTCTTTTCTCTTCCAGCTTCGTGAGTTTGTGCAGAAGGACGAGCTGAAGCCAGCGGTGATCCAGCTGCTATGGGAGCGGGCCACCGAGAAGGTCCCCTGCTCGTCCCTGGAGCGCTGCTGCTCTGTCATGCTGCTCGGCATGCTGGCACGGTGAGGCCCAGCCCGCAGGCAGTCGGGCAGACCTGGAGGAGGCTTCTGAGGAAGCTCTCTGCCTGCAGTGACGGCAGGCAGGCTGGCGAGCCCTGCTCCCTGAACGGGAAAGCAAACAAGGAGAGGGGCGGCCCCCTGCCTGCTGGGAACAGTGGCATTCAGTAGAGCAAAAGGGACCCCAGGGCTGCCCTGTGTTGGGGGCTGGCATGTACTTCCGTCAGCCTTGTGTCCCCCACATAGCCCTGTCCAGGGCTGCCTTTAACTCTGTGGTTTCCTTCCCCCAGAGGAAAACCAGAAATTGTGGGAAGCAATTTGGACACGCTGGTGAGCCTCGGGCTGGAGGAGAAGGCCCCGCAGGACTACAGGCTGGCCCAGCAGGTGTGCCATGCCATTGCCAACATCTCCGACAGGAGGAAGGTAAGCAGGGGTGGCGGTGTCCAGAGGGAGCAGAGCCAAGGTCTCCCACTGGCCCTCTGCACACAGCCACTTTGTATCTCTCTTGCTTCCCTCAGCCTTCTCTGGGCAAGCGTCAGCCTCCCTTCCGGCTGCCTCAGGAACACAGGTTATTTGAGCGACTGCAGGACTTGGTCACGAAAGGTGGGCCAGCAAGAAGGGTGCTGGGCAGAACTGGGCCCCTTGTCTGCAGTGCACTGAACAGCTTTCCCCTCCTCTCTGCAGGCTTTGTGCACCCAGACCCACTCTGGATCCCATTCAAAGAGGTGGCCGTGGCCCTCATTTACCAACTGGCCGAGGGCCCCGAGGTGATCTGTGCCCGGATCTTGCAGGGCTGTGCGAAGCAGGCCCTGGAGAAGCTGGAGGAGAAGAGCCCATCCCAGGAGGGCCAGAGTAAGTGAGCAGAGGCACGGAGGGCCCAGCAGGGGGCAGCCAGCTTCTGCTGTTCTTGCAGGGCCGGAAGCCACTGCCACCAGAGCCCACACTGGCAGAAGCTGGGCCAGTCCCCTCCACCCCCAGCCCCACGCCCACGCCCACCCCCCCACCTCTTCTTCACGGGTTTGAGCAAGCAGACAATCAGTAAAGACCAGGTTCAGGCTTGAGGGGACTGGGTTATGTCTTTGCTCCAGAGGAGGCTGTCCCAATGCTCCCCACTTTCCTGTTGATGAATCTGCTGTCCCTGGCGGGGGACGTGGCTCTGCAGCAGCTGGTGCACTTGGAACAGGCAGTGAGCGGAGAGCTCTGTCGGCGGCGAGTTCTCCGGGAGGAACAGGAGCACAAGACCAAGGAGCCAAAGGAGAAGGTGAGCGAAGCGTGGGCAGCTGGGCTTACTCCCGAGGCATGCATTTCCCCGTGGCTTCTCGCGGCTCAGGACAGGACAGGATAGGACGTTTCCTGCAGGGGAGCTGTGCGTCCCTCCAGTGGAGGGATGCTCGGTCTCTGTTGCTGCTGTCCCGGGAAAGTCAGTGTGCACAAAGTGGGAACAGTCTCAGGGTGTTAGAGACCCCCGTGTAAGGGGGTCTGACGGCAGCAGCGTTTGTTGGAACATGCTCACACCCGGCCCCCTTCCCTGCCCGTGCTGCCGGCCTGGCACCTGATGGAACCACTCGTCCTCCCCTCAGAGCCAGCTGTCTTGCAGACAGGTATGACAGAGCCTTGGGACCTTGAGCCCTTGCCTGGCATGGTCCTTCTGTTGGCCATTTGCAGCACATTCTTTTGTGAGGCTGAATTAAGAGAAGTAGAAACACGGTGGCAACCTGAAAACAAATATAGGGGACCTAGCTCTTTGCCTGTTTGATTCGAGTCCTTTCTCTTCACACAAGTCTGAATGGTTTGGCAGAACTCGCCTCAGCTCAGATGTGCTCACACAAAGTGGAGTATCAGGCTGAACGCAAAAATGTTGTTTGTGACCCCCCTGTTTGTGACCCACTTTCAGAACACGGGCTCTGAGACCGCCATGGAGGAGGAGCTGGGACTGGCCGGGGCTACCGCCGACGACACGGAGGCAGAGCTCGTCCGCAGCATCTGCGAGATGGAACTCTTGGACGGTGAGGGAGTAGCTGGGTGGGCACAGCCCGGCCCACCAGGGAGGTAACCTGCCCTGAACCTCGAGCTGTGCTCCCGACAGGCAAACAAGTGCTGGCTGCCTTCGTCCCGCTGCTGCTCAAAGTCTGCAACAACCCTGGCCTCTACAGCAACCCAGACCTCGCTGCGGCTGCTTCGCTCGCTCTCGGCAAGTTCTGCATGATCAGGTAGATCGTGGGCCGGCCCCGCCTTCTCAAGGGGGACGGAGAGGATAGGGCTTCCCTGATGGCCCTCTCCTCGCCCCTAGTGCCACTTTCTGTGACACCCAGCTGCGTCTTCTGTTCACCATGCTGGAGAAGTCCTCCCTCCCCACGGTGCGGTCTAATCTCATGGTTGCTACTGGGGACCTGGCCATCCGCTTCCCCAACCTGGTGGACCCCTGGACCCCGCACCTCTATGCTCGGTAAGGATCCCTGACGCCGCCCCAGCGGCCTCCGAGCTCTGGCAGTCTGGAGCTGGCGTGGGAATCGCTAAGACTCCCCCTAGACTAGCGTTACCTTGAACATCTGCTTGCTACTTGACCCTAAAGGGATTTTTTTTTAATTTATTTTTTATTTAGTAAATATAAATTTCCAAAGTACAGTTAATGGATTACAATGGCTTCCCCCCCATAATTTCCCTCCCACTCACACCCCTCCCATCTCCTGCTCCCTCTCCCATTCCATTCACATCAAGATTCATTTTCAATTATATACAGAAGATCGATTTAGTATATATTACGTAAAGATTTCATCAGTTTGCACCCACACAGAAACACAAAGTGTAAAATACTGTTTCAGTACTAGTTATAGCATTACTTCACATTGGACAACACATTAAGGACAGATCCCACATGAGAAATAGGTACACAGTGACTCCTGTTGTTGACTTAACAATTTGACACTCTTGTTTATGGCGTCAGTAATCTCCCTAGCCTAAAGGGATTATTAAAGCTCCTGTCTGGCTTTCAACTCTAGGCAGCTTTCTAAGTGCTTCTAGAATGGTGTGCTGTGAGGTAACAGATGCCTGCCAGGGCCTCCCCTACCAGTATTACAGGGTAACCCAGAGGGCTGGGCTCCAGTGACTTGAGCTTTCATTCCTAGTCTCCGGGACCCAGCTCCCCAAGTGCGCAAGACAGCAGGGCTGGTGATGACCCACCTGATCCTAAAGGACATGGTGAAGGTGAAGGGGCAGGTGAGCGAGATGGCTGTGCTGCTCATCGACCCCGAGCCTCAGATCGCCGCCCTGGCCAAGAACTTCTTCAATGAGCTTTCGCATAAGGTACGTGGCCGCGAGGCGGCCTGGGCTCACTGCACGGGGAGTATGTAGGTCACTGCACCTCTTCAGCGCGACTCTCCCTCACAGGGCAACGCCGTCTACAACCTGCTCCCGGACATCATCAGCCGCCTGTCAGACCCCGAGGCTGGGGTGGAGGAGGAGCCTTTCCGCACCATCATGAAGTAGGTTCCCAGCTGGGCACCTTCCTCACGTAGAGCACGGCCCGCTGCCTGCTCTGTAGCTGCGGCAGCTGCACAGCCTTCAGCACTCGCTTGACCTCTCTGTGCCCTCTGGGGATCAGGGCGTTCTGGAGAATGCACTAAGACAGTTGCTCAGGTGGAGGGAGGTGGCTGGCGGACTTCCTGTGCACCTGCATTTCCGCAGGGGTGGGCGCGCCCGTCTGATACAGGGTGAGGGTGAGAGGAGCAGTGAGGCGGGCCGGGGTCACAGCCCAGTCGCTGCCCTAGAGGGGCAAGGGTGTGAGCGGGAAAGTGGTGCTGGGCGGGGCCCAGGGTTGGTCTTGGCTGGCATCGCACACCCTCCCCTCCCCTTCCCGCAGGCAGCTGCTCTCCTACATCACCAAGGACAAGCAGACCGAGAGCTTGGTGGAGAAGCTGTGCCAGCGCTTCCGCACCGCCCGGTACACAGAGGCGCCCTGTGGCGTCCCCGGGGCCGCAAGGGGCAGCAGGGGAGGGCAGAGTCGTCACCCCTGGTCTCACTCTCCCCACACGGCCCTTCCCACGTGCAGAACCGAGCGGCAGCACCGGGACCTGGCCTACTGCGTGGCACAGCTGCCCCTCACGGAGCGAGGCCTCCGCAAGATGCTGGACAGCTTTGACTGCTTTGGAGACAAACTGTCAGATGAGTCGGTCTTCAGCGCCTTCTTGTCGGTCGTGGGCAAGCTGCGGCGCGGGGCCAAGCCCGAGAGCAAGGTGTGCGGGCCGGGCGCCACTGTCCCAGTGCTGCTTCGCAGGGTCCGCTCCCCCAGCCGCGGCGGAGGCTCTGTGGTGCCCGACTGCTGCACCTGTCAGTTCCCAGAGCGGCCTCACGCCCCATCGTCCTGTCTCCGGTTCCTGCTTCTTTTCTCTTAAAGACAGCTTTTGTTTTTGAAAGCAGTTTTGTATTGAAAGCAAAATTGAGCCAGAGTATAGAAATGCCGTGTACCCGTGCCCAGCTCCCCGCCTCACCGCCCCGTTACGGCTGCAGAACCTGTGTGGGTACGCAGCCCCCAGGCCATCATTGCACCGCGGCGCACTCCACGTGACACGTGCCCTCGCGACCGCGTCACAGAGGACCGAGCCTGCCTGCCCTCCCTGTCCCAGTGCGTCCAGGGCTCTGCTTTTCACAGCGGGATCCCGTTGGGGTCCTGCAGTGTGCGGGTAGCCCTCGGAGGACCTTTCCCACTCAGTATTGGGCAGTGAAGTTCCTACCATGTCTCTCATGGCCCCGTAACTGTCTCCAGGCCTGCTCCTAATCTCCTTTTCCCTCCAGGCCATGATAGATGAATTTGAGCAGAAGCTTCGGGCCTGTCACACCAGAGGCTTGGATGGAGTAGAGGAGCTTGAGATGGGCCAAGGGGGTAGCCAGAGAGCCCCGTCAGCCAAGAAGCCGGCCCCAGGTATGGTGGGCAGCCCGGGTGCCACCGCTGGGACCACCCCTCAGGACGCGGTGCCCGGTCCCCTGTCTGAACCCGGCTCCTTGCCCCTTCCAGCCCCCAGGCACCAGGCAGCCTCAGACAGTGACTTCGCCACGCCCATGGCCCGCCGGCCCACCCGTCGCCAGCCACACACCCAGCAGCGAGCTTTCAAAAAGAAACCCAAAATCGTCTTCTCCAGCGACGAGTCCAGCGAGGACGGTAGGGCGCTCTGTGTGGCCCTGGGGGCGGCTGAGTGCAGATCCACCGGACCGCCAGCCTCCCCCGGCGGTGGGGCTTGAGTTCCGTAGCATGGTCCGAAGCTTCCATCTGTTCTCGGACTTATTTTTTCATGTCTGTGACTCAGCGTTTTCTTCCTCCTCTGATTCTCCGTCTAGAGCTGTCAGCAGAGATGACGGAAGAAGAGACACCCAAGAAGACAACCCCCCTCCGCCGAGCCAGCACCCGCAGGCGCAGGTCCTAGGGCGTCGCCTGCCTGTCCCCTCCCTGCTGTGCAGGGATCTTAGGAGATGGCCGGACCTCAGCCCACGCCCCTGGAAAGTACTCTCCTGCCTCCTTGTGTTTTTAACGCTGAAGCAGCCTTCAGGGCACAAACGTTTCTCTTCAACTCGCCTTGCTGGCCGCAGTCCCGCTGCCTGCACTACTTGTTGACTCCCCGTTTCCCTGTGAATAAATGTGGTTTTTATACTTTTAGATGCTTTTCCTCGACTTGTCTTTGGTTCTTTTCCACATCAGACTGAAGCAGCAGATAGAGGCCCACAGTGCAGAGAAGCCGAGGCCCAGGGCCTATCTCGCTCTCAGACGAGTTTCGTGCTCCCTCAGGCCTCACCTCTCCCTTCCCGGCGTCCCGCTGCACACGTGACAGGATGGCCGTCACGGAGACCTGGTGTCCAGGCCTCCTCAGATCAGAGCTTCCCAAGCTGCAGTCTGCCCGGTCCCGCGGGCGAAGGCAGGGATGTTGCTAAACATCCTACCTTGCGCAGTGAGGGGACGGCCCTCCCAACAATTATTTGGCCCCAAATGTCAATAGTGCTGAGGTTGAGAAACCCTGTTCTAGACCAAGGGTTGGTGTCCCCTGTCTGCCCTACCCACCCACCCACCTTGTGATCCTGCTCCCCTCGCTGAAGCCTGGCCAGGCCCATGGAAGAACAGCTCTGGGAGACAGAGTCTGTCCCCCAAGGACTCCTCGCCCCGTTAAGGGACTGCAGCAGGTGCAGCCCAGCCCGTGCAGGCTGCTGCCGCTGTGCTGCCCTCAAGCCTGTGCACCCCTCAGGTTCCCCAAATCTCTGCTGAGTCACCTGTGCCGGGAGGCAGTGAGCAGCAGTCGTGACCATCCTAGTGTCTCTGCTGTCATGACAACGGCACACCATGTCAGTCATGCTCCTGCTGTTGCTGGCAGAGTACAGTAAGGAAAAGCCGCAAGCAGAGGCCAAGAGGCACATGGTAGCTCGGAATCCCGAAGGCCTTGGCGGGAAAGGGTTAATGCTCCCGGGGAGCCACGGCAGGACAGGGAGGCTGAGTGGCTGAGTCCTGGAAGGCCTCTGCTTCCCCCCACTGCACTGCAGCTGCCACCCCTCACCATCAGCACGCTGCATTGCATTCGCATTGCGGCACCTCCCAGCCCTCTTGCCCGCCTCCTGCTGCTCTCCAACAGCCTGGGCACCGGCCCTGCAGACAGCTGCCAGACGTGGACACAGCCTTGGCTCTAGGGCCCAAGGAGGGAGGGCACTCCCAGAAAGGCCAGGCCGTGGGGCCGAGTGGGGTGCAGGACTTCGTGCTCTCTTCCTTTTAAGCAAAGGTTATCACCAGGCCGCAGGCTAAACTTAGCCGCAAGCTTTTAGGCTAGAAGGGCAGGGGGCGGGTGTCAGGTTCCGCTGGGCTAGCAAAGAGGCCCCAGGATCTCCCCTTCCCCTGCACCTGCTGAAGGCAATGTCCACTCCACCCCACCCACCCCTGCTAACCCAGCGCTCAGCCCTTCCTCCATCCTCAGCCCACCAGCCTGGCCCAGCCCAGGCTCTTCACCTGGCTAGAGGGGAACGGATCCCCTCCTCTGCCTCGCAGACGGGGATATTCCCACTTTGTGCTGAGATCTCTGCTCCACCTTCCCTCCTCTGCTGGACTCGCCCTGCCCCCAACATCCCCTGCACACAGCCACCCTGGCTCCTGGGCCTGGCGGCACGTCCCTGGATGGGGAGGGACTTCCGCTCTCACGTCCCGCTCTCCGCCCTGGGCTGGAGGGGCTGAGAGGGGCACTTTCTCCCAGCCCGGGCGGCGCAGCCCTCAGGTTCCAAGAGCAACTTTACCCAGCCCCCACCCTCAGTGATGCCGTCCTCCCCCGGGGCCCCCGGCCCCGGCCTGGCGGGGCCCAGCGGGTGCACACAGGGCCTGGTTTGTCTGCTCCAATTATCAGATGTCCAGGCTGCCCAGGCTTGCAGGACATCGTGACCTTCCGTGCAGAAACCGCCCCCACCCCCCCGCAAGCCTCCTTCCTCTCCAAGGCCCCCGCTGCCCAGTGCCCAGGCCAGGCCCCTCGCCCAGGGAGGCCGGCAGCCAGGAGGTGGGGAAGGGGGAGTGGGGGCTGGGACGGGCCCGCGGGAGCCCCAGGCCCCTCCGGGGCCAGTTCCTCAGCTGTGTCACTACCAAAAAACCTGGAGAAGTTCCTCAGCTTGCCCGCCTCCCAGCCTTTGAAAGAATAGGGGAAGGGGGTGGCGCGTGCTGTCCCCAGGCGACCGGGCTCAGGCTCCGACTCCCCATGCCAGCCGCTCCCGGGTCGTCCGTGCGGCCCCTTGGCGCGGCCTGGGCTCCTGGACGTCTCTGGTTCCCGCCAGGACCCCCATCCCCGAGTCTATAGTGGCTTGCGTGCCCATAGTCCCGTCCCGGGAACCTTTAGCCATCACTGCCCCCGCGGGCCACCTCGGTCCCCTCCCCCTCTCAGGCCTGGGCCCACATGCCTGGTGCGTGCACTGGGGAACAAGGCGGGCCCGCAAAAAGAAAAACGAGGAGGCCCGGCTACTCGCGGGTTTACGGGCGCACGTAGCTCAGGCCTCCTCGCCCTTGGGCTGGGACTGGGCGAGCAGCACGGGAGGCGGGGCGCACGTCACCCACGCCCCGCCGCCCCCAGTCCCTATAAATTGAGGCTGCGGGTTCCTCCGGTGCTCTCTGCTCCGCCCCGTTCGACAGGCAGCCGCTTCTTCTCGTGCAGTGCAAGGTGACCAAGGCAGAGGCCGTGGGGGCTTGGGGGCCGGCGGGAGGAGGGGGCGTGCTGGCCGGGGCTTGGGCAGCCCCGAGGCGGTGCTGGGCCCCCAGAGCGGAGCCACCGGGCGGGGTCCCGCATTGCAGGGGCGAGCAGAGTACGTGCCTTGCCCTGGGGTGGGAATGGAGGCCGGGGGGAGGGGCGCCAAGGGCTGTGGCCGCTGGGCTTTGCCGACTGCCCTGATGCTCACTCTGCTGTCCCCACAGCGCGTCCCCGAGACACGATGGTGAAGGTCGGAGTGAACGGGTGAGTGAGCAGGGGCTGGGCCCGGGCGGGACTGGGGTCTCCGCAGTGGCGTGGGGAGGCGGGGTGGGGTGGCCGTACCCCGCAAGGAGAGCTCAAGGTCAGCGCCCGGACGCCTCCGAGGGCCTCGTGTCCCTCACCCCTCAGCCGTGGCGCCTCCTGTGACTCCGCCCCTGCGGAGCCGAGCGTCCCCATCCCTCGCTGTGGCTCCATCCCCCTAATCCCCTGGCCCCGCGCCCCTTTCTCTGCTTTCGCGCCCTGCAGGGTCACGTGCCCGCGGGCGCCCCTCCCCCACGGGCTCCGCGGCGCGGGGGTGCGCGGGGCCTGCTGCGTGCACAGCCCGCTGCGAGGCTGGGTGTGCGGGCGCTCGGCCGCCATGTTGCAACCGGGAAGGAAATGAATGAAGCACCGTTAGGAAAGCTGCGTTCTCGCTTCCTCCCCGCCCTGGCGGTGCGATGACTAACCCTCCCGCCCCTGCCCTGGCAGGGCGGGGCGCCCTCGTCCGGGACGCCGCGCTGCGGCCGGGACGCTGGACCTCAGAATCCTAGCCCTGGTCCAGCCCGATGCCCCCCCCCCCGCCGCCATGATGCTCTTTCTAGATCATTCATCCTCAGCTGAATCCGAGTGGGTGTGTGGAGGGCCCGCCGTGCGCCCTCGCCCCAGCAGCAGTGGTAGCTGTGGCTCAGCGCCAGGTTTGGGGGAGCTGAGTCATGGGTGATGAGAAAAGAAATTTTCCACGGCAAAATGGCTCCTGCAGCAGCCACACCTGGCCCTCCTGCGCGCTCACCTCACAGCTGTCTGCAGCCCAGCCCAGCCTAGCGCTGACCCCGCCCCAAGGGCCAGCCTGTAAAGGTCACCGGGGGGATTGGGTGTCCGAGGGCCCAGGAAGCCTGCCCTGCTCCGCCGTCTGCCTTCCAGAAACCAGATCCTGGCTCCACCCCACTCGGGTTAAATTTAGCTGCCTGACCTTTGCTGCGGCGGGGGGCCTCCCTCCAGCCCCCCAGTAACTGCCCCCCCTCGGGTTTCTGGATGGGGAGCTCAGGTAGATTAGCAGGAGAGGGCTGTGGCATTAGGGCCATCTCCCCAGCTCTCTGGAGGAGGGGCCTGCAGAGGGGGTGGGCTTAGCCTGGCCTGCGCCTCTCTGACCTTTACTCCTGCCCTTTGAGCTTGGTGATGCTGAGTGTACAGCTCTTCCCAGGAGCCAGCATAGATAGCGCAGAGGGGTGATGGCTGCCATGTGCCAAGCTCATGCCCAGCCAATGGGTGGCAGTGGCTCCTGGAAAGACTTGGGTGGGGACCAGGGTAAGGTTGGGGCAAGTCTTCGAGCCTGATCTTAACCTCTTGGATGGAAAAGGAGATTCCATTTCACCGAGTGAAGCCAGGCCAGCCTGGCAGGGTGTCTTAAAGGCAACAAGATTAGGCCCCTTGGGGCTCTGGGGCTGGGGAAATCTTAGACAAGCAGCCCTCTGTACCCAGGGGTTCTGCATCCATGGGTTTAGCCAACTGTGGATGGAAAATATTCCTGAGGTTATGAAATTCCAGAACATTCTAAAAAAATCAGTTTACCTCCCACTGAGTCCGGCAGCAAATCCACGCAGATGAAATGACGTGGAAGCATCCGTAGGTAGCATCCGTCACCCAGATGTGGTTCGAAGTCTGCAGGGGGGCGTGCGGAGGAGATGCCTGCCGCTGGCTGCCACAGCACTTTCTACAGGAGGAAGCCGAGTATTTGGGTTTTGTGTCCAGGGGAAGGGCCTGGAGCCACATCCCCTTCAGATAGCGAGGGAACCGGGCTCTGCTCCCTGGAAGGGTTCGGTGGCCTAAGGACTGCATGCATGCATGCGTGCGTGCGTGCCTGCGAGGACACTCTGCTCATTCTTCCTTGCCTCTTGTCTCCCTCAGATTTGGCCGCATTGGGCGCCTGGTCACCAGGGCTGCTTTTAACTCTGGCAAAGTGGATGTTGTCGCCATCAATGATCCATTCATTGACCTCCACTACATGGTGAGTGCTGCCCCCTGGCGCTGGTAGGAGGAACAGCCTGGCTGAAGGCAGCCCCCTTGAGGGCCCTCGCTTGCTCCCCCAGGTCTACATGTTCCAGTATGATTCCACCCACGGCAAGTTCCACGGCACGGTCAAGGCTGAGAACGGGAAGCTGGTCATCAACGGGAAGGCCATCACCATCTTCCAGGAGTGAGTGCGCAAGACGGACCAGCTTTGGGGCGGTGACTAGGACTGGGGGCCGCCTTGGGCATGGGGCACGTCACATCTCTGAGCTCTGTCCTTCCCCCCCCCCCCAGGCGAGATCCCGCCAACATCAAGTGGGGTGATGCTGGTGCCCAGTACGTGGTGGAATCCACTGGCGTCTTCACCACCATGGAGAAGGCCGGGGTGAGTGGGCTGGGGACGGGGGCCCTGACCCTGGGATGTGGGGGAGGAGGCAGGCAGCTGAGCGAGCTTACAACCAACTCCTCTGCTGCAGGCTCATTTGAAGGGCGGAGCCAAAAGGGTCATCATCTCAGCCCCCTCCGCCGATGCCCCCATGTTTGTGATGGGCGTGAACCACGAGAAGTATGACAACTCTCTCAAGATTGTCAGGTGAGGCTGGCGGGAGGCGGGCGGAGGTGAGAGGCTGAACCCCCGGAGGGGGGGACTGGCCTTGCCCTGACTTACACCCTCCCTCTCTCATGTTGCAGCAACGCATCCTGCACCACCAACTGCTTAGCCCCCCTGGCCAAGGTCATCCACGACCACTTCGGCATTGTGGAGGGGCTCATGACCACGGTGCACGCCATCACTGCCACCCAGAAGACCGTGGACGGGCCCTCTGGGAAGCTGTGGCGTGACGGCCGCGGGGCCGCCCAGAACATCATCCCTGCCTCCACTGGCGCTGCCAAGGCCGTGGGCAAGGTCATCCCCGAGCTGAACGGGAAACTCACTGGCATGGCCTTCCGTGTGCCCACCCCCAACGTGTCGGTCGTGGACCTGACCTGCCGCCTGGAGAAAGCTGTATGTCTGGGTCGGGTGCTGGTGGTGGGCTGGTAGGCCGGCTGCTACAGCGGTGCTCACGCGGAGCTTGGCTGTCTGACCTGTTCTTACCTTCCTAGGCTAAGTATGACGACATCAAGAAGGTGGTGAAGCAGGCATCCGAGGGCCCCCTGAAGGGCATCCTGGGCTACACCGAGGACCAGGTACTGATAGGACGGAGGACAGGGCCTGGGGCCGGTGTGGCCCCGCTCATGAGGGCGGGGTTCCCACACTTAGCCCTCTCCTCCCCAGGTCGTCTCCTGCGACTTCAACAGTGACACCCACTCCTCTACCTTCGATGCTGGGGCTGGCATTGCCCTCAATGACCACTTTGTGAAGCTCATTTCCTGGTATGTGGCTGGGGCAGGGGACAGGACAAGGCTTAAGAAGTCAGTTGGGTTCTGGTGTCCCCCGGTGGCCTTCTCAGAAAATAACCCTTAACAATTCCCTGATCACCTTCTAGGTATGACAACGAATTTGGCTACAGCAACAGGGTGGTGGACCTCATGGTCCACATGGCCTCCAAGGAGTAAGAGCCCTCAAACCACCGGCCCCAGCGAGAGCACCAGAGGAGGACGAGAGGCCCTCAGCCGCTGGGGAGTCCCTGCCCCCACTCAGTCCCCACCACGCTGAGAATCTGCCCCTCTTCACAGTTTCCATCCCAGACCCCCTGGAGGAGGGGAGGGGCTTAGGGAGCCCTACCTTGTCATGAAACCATCAATAAAGTCTTCTGCACCCAGACAACTCTCTTGTTCTGTCCCAGGGCAAAGGGGAGGGTGCTGGGTGGACAGGGCTGAAGGCTGGTTTCAGGTACCCAAGAGGGATCTGGCACACCCACGGGACCGGCCCTAGGCAGCCCCCCTCTGAGGCTCTGTGTGCTGCAAGAACTGCAGCGGGTCACTTGTGCTTGGCTGAACATGGGAAGTCACGGCTGTGACCTTGGCCTCTGATGCGCAGCACACGTGGCAGTGTGCAGGCCGAGCTGTGACTTCACCTGGGCTGCTCAGGTCTTTGGAGATTTGATGAGGCAGATGGCACAGGCCCCTAGCACTTGCCCAATGCACTAAGCACTGTAGAACCTGAAGGAAGGCTGGTGGCCACCCCTGGTAGGTCAGAGGGAGGTGGCAGGGACACCATCTTCAGGTGAGGTGTGGGTTTAGCTGGCAGGAGCCACTTGCAGGCTCTTACTCTGAGCAAGTTCCTGTAACCTGTGCCTTGTACCTTTACAAAAGGACGAAGCAGCACGCAGCGCGGTGGGGGCTGTAGTGAACAGAAAGTGCTTGAAACTGTGACACAGTGCTCAATAAATACTGCCAGCTTCATTATTATTAACGACTCCATTCAGCTCCGCACAGCCACCTGCACTGAGTGAGTCCTCTGTACTGTCTCCAGGAAAGTCAGCCTGTCAGTCTTGGGGTAGGCCACGCCCCCCGGAGGCGGCTCATCCTGGGCGGAGACCCTGAGCGCTCACGCACACACGTGCACAGCCGGAAGCCGTGCCTGGGAGAAGCTTCACTGCCTCCTGGATGCTGCTGTACCCAGTCCCCCGCATGGCAGGGAGGGCGTCCCTTTAGTGCTCGGCGCCAACACGAGGGGAGGGGCCGACACCCACAGCTGACAACGCGGGCCGGAACGGGCCAGAGCACCAAGGCAGGCCTAGGTGTGGCCCACGCCGTGATGGAACCCCAAGCTGAATCCACTTCATACCAGTGCCCGGGCCAGAGCGAGCTGGCTGGAACCCCAGGCGTGGAGGCCAGGGCCCACGTTCACATGCCTCACACAGCGGACACAGGAAGGGGCTGTGCTTGCTCCAGCAGATCAGCGATGGGCGAGTAGCAGACACCCACGTGGGAGGGCAGTGGGCCCAACCGTGGGGGGAGGGGTTGGCTGGGGAGGGCCGGGCCCAGCCTTGCTCCAAACAGTCCAGTAGCCCGGGAAGGCCCAGGCAGGATCACTCCGTCCCCAGGGGCCAGGGACACATCCCTCTGTGCGCCCCCACCCTCTGCCTCGGTGGGCTGCAGGAGTGCCGAGAGGGAGGGCGGCCCCTATCTCATGGAGCTGTCGGATGAGACGTCGCGATCCGAGTCCTCAGTCTCGCTTGGCGGTGGCGGCGGGTCGCTAAGCGGGACCGCAGTGAAAGCAGGAGACTTTCTAGAAAAAAACACCCACCGTCACCAGGGGAAGGCCCAGGTCCCCAGGGGCAGGCGACCCTCGTCCCCGGGCTCATCCTCTGGCAGCTGAGTGACACTCTGGCAAGGGCAGGCAGCAGGTGGGGTGAAGGAGGGGAGGGTGGGAGCAGAGTTCTCCCCCACGCCACCCTGTCTGTATCCTGGGGGCAGGGCCCAAGTGCAGCCCCTGGGGCCGGGCCTGGTTTGCATTTTCCTGACTTTTTGCTTTTCTAAATCTGCTTTGTTAGTAACTGTAACTTCCACGGGGTCAAACGCATGAATCGAGGTTCCAACTTTTAGATAAAAACCAGCCCTCACATCCCCTCTGCTCCTTGCTAGTTTGTCAGATGCTCCCACCAGGGCAAGCATAGAGCTGGTGGGGGGGGGGGAGTGCCTGGGCACCCTCACATCAAGTGCCACCACCACTGCTGGCCATGGGGCTACCCACCCCCCCACTCCAGGGAGGCCCTTACCGGTCCCCCGACTGCGTGATGAGCCGGCGGCAGGTCTCCATCTGCACGTCCAGGCCCCGCTTCATGCTGCACATCTCCATGTACTCGTGCAGGTGTCGGTTCATGTCGTTCTTGGCCGTGGCTAGCTCCAGCTGCGACAGAGCGGGGCAGGGCCACAGGGGTTAGCAGGCCCAGGGCCGGCAGTGCCCGGCTCCCCGTGCCAGAAGGCTGGCACGCCAGGAGCAGCAGCTGGGCCACAGCCAAGGCACCCAATACATTCTCCTCTCAACCGGTCTCCCTCTCAACCGGTCTCCCAGAGTCTGCCTACAGGGCAAAGCTAAGGTGTCTGTGTGAGCTGCATTCCTCAAGAACCTGATAAGGGGAAGAGGAGGAAGACAGGAGGGAGCCGCCACCACTCTCCACTGCCCCAGGCCACCTCTGGGAGCCAACAGGACTCCCTGCACGCAGGAGGCAACCTGAGCGTGCAGCGCATAGGGCTCACTTCTCACCATATTCTCTTCCTTACTTATCGTCCAGACGCTAAGAGGACCACCGCCATGCTGAACATCCGGCTGATTAGGAGATGTATCCTGGGTGGCAGCTGTGGCGAAACAGGCAAGCCGCCACCTGGGACACCTGCATCCTCCCTAAGTCGGAGTATGAGCTCCAAATCCTGGCTACTGTGCTTCCGACGCAGCTCCCTGCTAACACGCCTGGGAAAGCGTAGTACCTGGGCCCCTGCCACAGGCGCGGGAGAGCCGGGTGGAACTCCTGGTTCCTCCTGTGGCCTGGCCCAGCCCCAGCTGTCACAAGCGTCTGGGGAATGAACCAGGGGATGGAAGATCTTGTCACTCTGCCATTAAAATAAATAAATCTTTTGAAACAAAAATAAGATGTATCTCAACTTCAGAAATGTTCTATGTAGAAAATGTGGGGCTAGGGGGCTGCTGTTGTGGTGTAGCAGGAAAAGCTGCTACCCGCGGCTCCCGCATCCCATCTGTGCACTGGTTCAAGTCCCGGCCGCTCCACTTCCGATCCAGCTCCCTGCTAATATGCCTGGGAAAGTAGAGGAAGATGGCCCAAATGCTTGGGTCCCTGCACCCATACGGGAGACCCAGAGGCAGCTCCTGGCTCCTGGCTTTGGCCTGGCCCAGCCACGGTCATTGCAGCCATGTGAGGGAGTGAACCAGGGGATGGAAGGTCTCTTTGTCTCTCCCTCTCTCTCTCTCTCTAACTCTGACTTTAAATCTTTAAAAAAGAAAGAAAACGTGGGGCTCATCAGAATAGGCAGGCTCCCTCCCAGAGCCTGATTCTGCGGCAGAGGCTCCGGGCAGGGAGGCGGCGGCTGCGGTGGGAAAGCTCTGGGCCGGCAACAATCTGCAGCCTCTGTTTTGGGTACAAAGGACAGGGGCCAGGACTGGAAGAGAAGCAAACCGCCTGGAAGTGATTTGCTCAACGACTTGAGAGCAAAGAGAAAGGGGAGGAAGCCGCCCGTGAGCAATCGGCAGAGGGCAGAAGAAGCCACCCGAGTAATGTGCGCTGGCCGGCGAGGGTGGGAACGTGGGAAAGGAGCGGACGGGTCCCAGGGCCACACAAAAGGGGCGGCCAGGACGGCAGCATGGGCATGCGGGTGCGGCGGGGGCTCTCCTGGAGTGGCAGGCCACCCTCAGCTGGGACTGCAGCCGCAGGCCTGGGGCCACGAGCAGAGCGGGAGGTGCTGACCGTTCAAGCCAAGGAGAAAACACCGACGCCACCCGCCCGTCCCCCAGCCTCTCCACTTAGGAAGTCAGCGTGGAGGGCGTGCGTTTGGGAACTGGAGGTCCGGGGCACAGGGAAGAAGGAAACAAGCCAAGCACTTGTACCCAAAGGCTAAGCACCGCCACCAGCAGTCTCTACGTATTTCTACGCCCCTTCTCCCACCGCTCCTGAGTTCTGATTTGTGTGGAACACTTGTACATTTCCACGGCTCCGGGGCAATACTTCCACACACGGAAACTGAGCAAAATGATCAGAGCGTCCTCATCCTCTCCTGTGTCTGCGGCCTGAGCTCCAGCTCTTTATCCAGAAGTGCAGTCTCCCCGCTGGGCTGCGGAACCGACTGCGCCTGGGTGCGTGCCCCCCTGCACCCACACACTTAAAGCACAGGCAAGGCAAGGACAAGACCGGAAGTTAGGTGCTGAATCCTTGAATCCTCAACAGCCTCTCCGGAAAATTGCAGCATCTGTGCGAGCAGAGGACTGTGGGTGGGGATGAGAAGGTGGGAGGGAGCAACTGGGCTCCACCATCCACTGACGGGAAAGGCCTATGGCCATGTCAGCAACCCTGAGAGATCAAGGTCACAGAGACCCAGCACCTCGGCTGCGCTGGACGGACCACCACAGGCAACACTGCCGCCGAGGCCACCAAGCCAGCTCCCCTAACACTTCCAGGTTTCATTCTGCAGAGAGGAGCGGAGAGACGCACGACTCAGAACACGGCCCAAAAGGCACACCTCCATCTAGAATGTTCTGTCCTTCCTATCAGGGAGTATGTCAGAGCAGGCACTTCCGGTCCAGGGCAAGAGCCCAGCAGAGACAGCAGCCCCATGTCCCCATGTCATTTCAGTGTGGCACTGGAGGGGGGCCCAGGTCAGCTAAGGGGGCGGGGGACATGGGGAGACACAGGCATAAACACAGGCATGGGGACCAGTCCTAGGAGCACCAATCTGGCTGTGCCTTTAAAACTTAGCGTTTGTCTGTGCAGGCAAAGAAAACCCAGGAGCAGGGCCATCTGGTACGTGTCGGGAGAATGAGGAAGTGGGAAAACAGTTTTGCAACTTCCTTCTCAAAGTGCAGGCGGTGTGAGAGCACTGAGCGCAGGCGAGCAGTGTGGGCTGACGAGAGGCCGGGGAGGCGCACAGTGGTGCCTGCGGTGGCTCCTGGGGAACAACCCAACCCTCCACCCAGGGCAACCTCTGTCCTGGCAGCCCCCGAAGGCCTGCAGGTCAAGCTAAAGCACCAGCTGCACCTGCCCCCTCTCAAGGGCTCCCCCAGGCTCGAGAATAAGAATGGAGACTCCTCCACAACCTCCTAGGCTGAGCTGAGTGCTACAGCCCTGACAGTGCTAACGAATGCTGGCCGCAGCCAGCGCGGTGGCGCAGCAGGTTAAGCTGCTGCCAGGGATGCCGGCATGCCCTAACAGAGCACCAGTTCAAGTTCCACTTCCACTCCAGGGCCCTGCGAATGTGCCTGGGAGAGCAGGGGAAGATGGTCCAGGTACTTTGTCACCCACAGGGGAGACGCTGATGGACTTTTTGACTCCTGGCTTTATGGCCCATCCCTGGCTACTGCAGCCATTTAGGGAGTGAACCAGTAGATCTCTGTCTCTCCCTCTCTCTCTGACACTACGCCTTCCAAATGAGTAAGTCTTTAACAACAACAATGGCCACTAGGGTATACTTATAAGCCAGTCTCAGCCCTACATGAGGACCCTTCTAAAAGTGCAGGAAAAAATGAGATTAAAAGTATATGGGGGGGCCCGGCGCCATGGCTCACTAGGCTAACCCTCCGCCTAGCAGCGCCGGCACACCGGGTTCTAGTCCCGGTCGGGGGGCCAGATTCTGTCCCAGTTGCCCCTCTTCCAAGCCAGCTCTCTGCTGTGGCCAGGGAGTGCAGTGCAGGATGGCCCAAGTACTTGGGCCCTGTACCCCATGGGAGACCAGGATAAGTACCTGGCTCCTGCCATCGGCCGCAGCAGCCATTGGAGGGTGAACCAACGGCAAAAGGAAGACCTTTCTCTCTGTCTCTCTCTCTCACTGTCCACTCTGCCTGTCCAAAAAAAAAAAAAAAAAAAGTGTATGGTGGTGGGCACTGTGGCGCAGAAGGTTATGCCACCGCTGGGGATGCCCACATGCCATATCAGAACACCTTGCTCTGAGTCCTGGCTCCTCTGCTTCCAATTCTGCTTCCTGTTAATATATCCTGGGAGGTGCCAGCAGCTGCCTCATATACTTGGGACTTGCCACTCTGCGGGAGACCTGGATGTAGCTCTAGGCTCCCGGCTTCAGTTGTGGGCATTTGGGGAGTGCACCAGCTGATGGAAGAGATCCCTCTCTCTCTCTCTCCCTCTCTCTCTCTCTGTCACTCTGCCTTTCAAGTAGATGAAAATAAGTAGACTTCTTAAAATTTACTTATTTACTTGAAAGTCAGAGTTATAGAGAGGGAGAGGAAGAGAGAGATGAGAGAGAGACAGAGAGAGAAGTCTTCCATCTGCTGGTTCACTCCCCAAATGGCTGCCATGGCCAGGGCTGGGCCAGGATGAAGCCAGGAGCCAGGAGCTTCATGCAGGTCTCCCATGTGGGTGCAGGAGCCCAAGGACTTGGGTCATCTTCTGCTTTCCCAGGCGCAACAGCAGGGAGCTGGATCAGAAGTGGAACGGCCAGGACTTGAATCAATGCCCATACAGGATGCCAGCACTGCAGGCAGCAGCTCTACCCACTATACCACAGCACTGGCCCAGTAAACATTTTTTAAAAGATTAAGTCTATGGATTTGATGCCTTCTTCTGGCTTCTGACTCCAGCTTCCTGCTAATGCAGACCCCAGCAGGCAGCGATGGCTCAAGTAATGGGTTTCTGCCATTCCCATGGGAGACTTCATGGAGTTCCCAACTTCCAGTGCCAGCCTTGGCCAGAACCAGCCCACACAGACATTGGGGGACTGAATGAGAGGAGAGGAGAAGGGAGGGGAGGGGAGGGGAGGGGAGGGGAGGGGAGGGGAGGGGAGGGGAGGAGATCTTCCATCCGCTGGTTCACTCCCCAAATGCCCATTGCAGGAGAGGAGAGGAGGGGAGAGGAGGGGAGGGGAGGGGAGGGGAGGGGAGGGGAAGGGAGAGAAAGGGGAGGGAAAGGGGAGGGAAGGGAAAGGGGAGGGAAAGGGGAGGGGAGGGGAGGGAAGGGGAGGGAAGGGGAGGGAGAGAAAGAGAAAAAAAGAAAAAGGAAGGAAGGAAGGAAGGAAGGAAGGAAGGAAGGAAGGAAGGAAGGAAGGAAGGAAGGAAGGAAGGAAGGAAGGAAGGAGATAAGTTTATTTTGGTTCAGAAAATCTGAGGGCTGTGCATTGGCTTAGTGGTCCCGAAGCCAGTCCAGATGCCCACACCCCACCCTGAGTGCCCAGCTTCCTGCTAATACTCATCCTGGAGGCGGCAGCGATGGCTCCAGGTTAACTGGGTTCCTGCCACCCAGCCTGGGTTGAGTTCCGGGTCTTGGCTCTGCCCTCAGCCAGCCCCAGTCGTCACAGACATCTGGGGAGTGAACGAGCAGACATGTGCTCTCTCTCTCTCTCCCCCAACCCCACTGCCTTTCGTATAAGTAAATAAAAATAAGCTTATTTTAGCACAAACAAAATGTGAGGGGGTGGCATCTGGCTTAGCAGTTGCCAGCTAGGACAGATGCGTCCTACACTGGAGTGCCTGGGTTCGAGTCCTGGCTCCGGACCCCAGCTTCCTGCCAATGCAGGCCTGGGGAGGCAGCAGCGATTGCTCAGTATGTGGGTTCCTGCCGCCCACTTGGGAGACCTGGTTTGGGTTTCTAGCTCCCAATTTCATCCTGTCCCAGACCCAGCAATTGTAGACATCTGGGAAGTGAACCAGTAGATGACAGCTCTGTGTGTGTGGAGGGGGGTCCCTCTCTGTCTCTGTTTCTTTGCCTCTTAAATAAAATACGATATATTTTTTAAAAGTTTATTTGAAATGTACTCATAGGGGCCAGCACTGCAGCACAGTAGGTTAAGCCTCCACCTGCGGCACTGGCATCCCATATGGGTGCCAGTTCAAGTCCTGGTTGCTCCTCTTCTGATCCAGCTCTTTGCTAATGGCCTGGGAAAGCAGTAGAAGATGGCCCAAGTGCTTGGACCCCTGCACCTGCATGGGAGACATGGAAGAAGCTCCTGGCTCCTGGCTTCAGATTGGCCCAGCTCCAACCATTGCGGCCATTTGGGGAACAGATAGAAGACCTCTCTGTCTCTTCCTCTCATTGTCTGTAATTCTACCTCTCAAATAAAAAAAATCTTTTCATAGTTTCTTTATAATAGATTTTTCATGAACTTTTTAAAACAATTGTATTTGAAAGGCAGAATGACAGAGAGCAAAATCTTCCATCTGCTGGTTCAGGTTCACTCCCCAAGTGGCCCTAACAGCTGGAGTTGGGCCAGGCTGAAGCTAGAAGCCTGGAATTCCACCCAGGTCTCCCACACGGTGGCAGGGGCCCGAGCACTTTCACCACCTGCCGCTGTGGTGCACTTCCCAGGTGCATTAGCAGGGCGCTAGATCAGAAGTGGAGCGGCCATGACCTGAATCTGTGCTCTGATATGGGATGTGGACCCACTGGGCCCTCGAGAACTTTTTGAAGTTCCTTATACCTATGTTTTCAAAATTTTCTGCACCAAAATAAACTTATCTTTGGATTCCGTTTTCCACGAGCTTTTGGAGGTCTCCCCGTGTGTGTACTACCTCATTTGCTGTTCAAAGGAGCCCTCTGGGGCAGGTGTTACTAAGCTCCCTGTCTTAGACATCATAAACTGGCCACAGAGAGAACAAGGAGCTTGTTCGAGTTAGACCTGTCCGTCTCCGGAGGTCCTGAGAGCCCTCCCGGGGTACCACAGCTGAGACCACCCCCACCCTCAAGAGAAGGAAAGGCCCGGGCCACCGGGGCCCCCGCTCTGGGGCTGAGCCGCCCAGTGTGCACCCTCACCTCTATCTGGTCAATGGTTTCCTGGTATTCTTTCTCCCGGGTTTTGAACAGAGACTCCGTGTCCTTGATCACCTTCTCCAAGCTGTCTTCCTGCTGCTGGTGGGCCACGGGGAGGGGAGGGTGGGGGGGACAGGGCCAAGGTGCAGAGAGAGAGAGAACATCGGGTTAAGGGCAGCTGCAGAGAGTGGAGGAGGAGGAAAAAGAAAGAGGGAAGAAGCAGGGAGAGGCTGATGACTACACGGGGGACAGAGCGGGGAGGCAGGGAGGCAGGGAGGCGGGGAGGCGGGGAGGCAGGGAGGGGGAGGGCGGGCGCTGAGGGGCCCCGGGCCGGGAGGGGCGTTACCTCTCCCTGGGCCTCTGCCGCTGCCATGGCATAGCCTGAGAAATCCTCCCAGAGCAGCAGAGTCTCCTCGGTCTCCTCCCAAGTCAGGCTGTCACAGTCGTCCTCAAAATCACACTCCCTCCTAGAGACAGGGAGCCCACGGGTCAGGGGCTGCGGGGGCGCCGGCCTCGGGCTGCGTGGGCTGGGGGCGCTGGGGCGCTGGGGCGCTGGGGCGCTGGGGCGCTGGGGCGGCCCGGCACTCACAGCTGGTTGAGCATGCGCTGCATCTCCTCGTTGATGCTGAGGGCCGTGCTCTCCTCCTCGTCCCCAGCGGGCTGGCGGGGCCCGTCACTCTCCGACAGGGAGGGGTCCTCCTCCACAGCGGCCTTGCGCTCCCGCTTCCGCCCCCCCATGGATGGGACCTTAATGGGAGACAAGTGCAGAGACTACAGAGACGAGGCCGGGTGCGTGAGGAGCGAGGGCGGGCGGGGAGGCCGGGGCGAGAAGCGGGGACCAGCGGGGAGGGCAGAGAGAAAAGACACAGTTATGAGGGCAGCAAGAGAAACACGCAGGTCACCGAGAGACAGGCGGACAGACACGGAGCGGGCAGGGCTGCAGGCTGAGCAGGAAGACAAAGGAGAGAGAGAGAGAGAGAGAAAATAGAGCAGTAAGATAAGAGGAGCAATGGCTCGTTAGGGTCACGTCAGATGTGTAGGATGGCCAAGGAGGAATTTGGTTTTCTAGAAGAAAGTCTGTCTGGTGAGAGGAGACTCAATGGCACAGAGCTCTGGGCTGCGAGGAGGATGAGGCTACGGCGTGACAGAGCAGACCTCGCGTCACATCCAGATCTGGAAAGCCGGGGAGGGGGAGACAGAACGGGGGCCGAGAGCCAGGACACGGAGTGCAGAAGAGACCTGCGCTGAGGGCAGACCCGACGGCCAGAGGGCCTGGGACTGGGACACGAACAAGCGTGCGTGAGGTCAGACTAACCAGCTGCCTCTGTGAGGACGGCACGAGAGAAGATGAAGGAAGAGAGGAGAGAAGCAGACAGAGGAGAGAGAGGGAGACGGCGTTAGCTTCCAAACGCTCTCCTGCGGCTGGCGCTGGCCCCCCAGCCTAGTCCCACAGAGGGTCCCAGGGACCAGAATAAGGGCCCCCCAAAGAAGGGGGCAGGGCCCGTGCCCCTCGGGGCCAGTGTGGGGGAGTCTCTCGCCCCGCCCCACCCCCCCCAGCCAGGGGCAGCGGGGTCCTCACCTGGAACATGTGGATCATGTCCTCGCAGTTGCGCTGCTGAGCCACGTCACAGAGCTTGGCGGTGATGTCGATGCGGCGGCAGATGTCCATGTCCACCTTCATGGCCTTCTCCTGGATCTTGGTGTCCAGCTCCGACAGGTTCTGTGCGGGAAATGGGAACAGGACTCCAGACTGGGACTCGTACAGCTGTGGCAAGATCCAAGATCTCCAGCCTTCCCGCACGTCACTGTCAGCTCCACCAGGAAGCCCCCAACTCCCTGGGCAGAATGCATCCCTCTTCCTAGCATCCCCCCCCATGGCACTGCACCTGCTATAGCGGTGCTGTTGTCTGACTGGCTCCCTGGCCAGGAGGGGGCCCTGGAGGATGTGGCCTGGTGCCTGGGACCTACAGGGGCTGCCTGGGGCCAACAGCAGACCCCACCCTCCTGGAACTGAGGGTGAGGCGCGACTACCGGGAACCCTACAAGCAGGTGCCATACGGGAATAGTAATCACGGCAGCTTACACTCAGTACTAAACACAAGAGGACTTCACAGCATTTAAAAGGAAAATTTGTTTTGGTGCAGGAAATTTTTGAAACCCATGCATACCAGGGGTCTTCAAAGAGTTTATGGGGGGACAGGCACCTGGCACACCAGTTAAGTTGCCACTCAGGGATGCCCGCATCCTATATTGTAGTATCTCTGCCTCAGATTCCAGCCTCCTGCTAATGCACACCCTGGAAGGCAGCAGGTGATGGCTCAAGTACCTGGGCCCTGCTGCCCTTGTGGGAGACCAGGGTGGAGTTCTAGGCTCCTGGCTTCTGCCTGGCCCAGCCCTGGCTGTTGCAGACATTTGGGGACTGAACCTGTAGATGGAAGGAAGATCTCTCCCTGTCTCTTCTGTCTCTATACCTTTCAAAGAAAATGAAAATAATAAAAACTAAAACAAGAGATTATGGAAACTATACATGTTTTTAATGGCATCCTCCATCTTTTTTTTTTTTTTTTTTTTTAAAGATCTATTCAGGGCCCTTCAGCAGATAAAGCCGCTGGGGCACTGGCACCCATATAAGTGCTGATTCACGTCCCAGCTGCTCTATTTCTGATCCAGCTTCCTGCACCCATGTGGGAGACCCATTCCTGGTCATTGCAGCCATTTGGGAAGTGAAACAGCAGACGGAGGATCTCCCTCCCCCTCTCTTGCTTCCTTCCTCCCTCCTTCCCTCTCTCTTTGTAACCCTGCCTTTCAAATAAATCTTGAAAAAAAAAAAAAAAAAGGTTGATCAAGGCCTAGGGCTGGTCCAAGCCAAAGCCAGGAGCCTGAGTCCCACCTGGGGGTCTCATGTGGGTGGCAGAGGCCCCAAGTATTGGGGCCGTCCTCCACTGCCTTCCCATTCACTTCCCAGCAGCCAGGATTCAAACCAGCACTCAGATTTGGGTGTTGGGTTGCAGGCAGCTGCTGAGTTTGCTGGACCACAATGCCAGGCCCCATCTTGGTTTTTGGGTTTCTTAAAAATCTATTTAGAGGGGCCAGCACTGTGGCGTACTGGATGCCACCACTTGCAGTGCCAGCATCCCATTAGGGCAACGGTTCAAATCATGCCTGCTCCACTTCCGATCCAGCTCTCTGCTATGGCCTGGGAAAGCAGCACAGAATGGCACAAGTCCTTGAGCCCCTGCACCCACCTGGGAAACCTGTAAGAAGCTCCTGGCTCCTGGCTTCAGATTAGTGCAGCTCCAGCCCTTGCTGCCAACTGGGGAGTGAACCAGCGGATGGAAGACCTCTCTCTCTCTCTCTCTCTCTCTGTAACTTTAACTCTTTCAAATAACTAAATAAATCTAAAAAAAAAAAAAAAAAAAAAAACCTGTTGTGGCACAGCAGGCTAAGTCATCACCTGTGATGCCAGCATCCCATATGGGCACTGGTTCATGTCCCAACTGTTCTACTTCTGATCCAGCTGCCTGCTAATACACCTGGGAAAGTAGCAAGAGGATGGCCCAAGCCCTTGGGCTCCGCATCCATGAGGGAGATCTGGAAGAAGCTCCTGGCTCCAGGCTTACATCTGGCCCAGACCTGGTTGTTGCAGCCATTTTAGGAATGAACCAGCAGATAGAAGATTTCTCTCTTCTCTGCTCTTCTCTGTCTTTCCCTTTCTCTAACTGGCAGAGTGGACAGTGGACAGTGAGAGAGAGAGACAGAGAGAAAGGTCTTTCTTTTCCATTGGTTCACCCCCCAGTGGCCGCTGTGGCTGGCACGCTGCGCCGATCCGAAGCCAGGAGCCAGGTGCTTCTCCTGGTCTCCCATGGGGTGCAGGGCCCACGCACTTGGGCTATCCTCCACTGCACTCCCGGGCCACAGTAGAGAGCTGGACTGGAAGAGGAGCAACCGGGACAGAATCCGGCGCCCCAGCCGGGACTAGAACCCAGTGTGCTGGCGCCGCAGGTGGAGGATTAGCCTATTGAGCCGCGGCGCCAGCCTCTAACTGGATCTTTCAAATAAATAAAGCTATTTATTTATGGTGGTGTAGTAAGCTAACCCTCTGCCTATGGTGCTGGTGTCTCAGCTGTTACTCTTCCAGTCCAGCTCTCTGCTATGGCCTGGGAAAGTGGTGGAGGATGGCCCAAGTGCTTGGGCCCCTGCACTCACATGAGAGACCCAGAAGAAGCTCCTGGCTCCTGGCTTCAGATTGGCCCAGTTCTGGCTGTTGTAGACATTTGGGGAGTGAACCAGAGGATGGAAGTCCTTTCTCTCCGTCTCTCCCTCTCTCTGTCTATAACTTTACCTCTCAAATAAATAAATCCATTTATATTTACTTGAAAAGCAGACAGACCAAGGGAGAGGCAGACTAAAACCCATTGGTTCACTCCCAAACACCTGCAACAGCTGGAGTTGGGCCAGGCCAAAGCTGAGAGCTAGAAACTCAATCCACAGGGCTGGCACTGGCGTAGTGGGTAAAGCCACCGCCTGCAGTGCCAGCATCCCACATGGGTGCTGGTTCAAGTCCCGGCTGCTCCATTACCAATCCAGCTCTCCGCTATGGCCTGGGAAAACAGTAAAAGATGGCCCAAGTCTTTGGGCCCCTGCACCCATGTGGGAGACCCGGAAGAAGCTCCTGGCTCCTGGCTTCGGATTGGTGCAGCTCTGGTTGTTGCAGCCAATTGTGGAGTGAACTAGTGGATCTCTCTCTCCGCCTCTTAAATAAATAAACAAACAGGAAGGAAGGAAGGAAGGAAGGAAGGAAGGGAGGGAGGGAGGGAGGGAGGGAGGGAGGGAGGGAGGGAGGGAGGGAGGGAGGGAGTCAATCCAGTTCTTCCATGTGGATGGTAGGGACTCAACTACTTGAGCCATCACCTGCTGCCTCCCAGGGTGCACATCAGCAGGAAGCTGAAATCGGAAGCAAATCTGGGACTGGGACCTATCACACTCCAATACGGCATGTGGATATCCTAAGCAGTGTTCTAACCACCAGGGCACACCTGCCTTTAAATACCTCTTTTAATTTGATTTTCCATGCATTTTAAAAACATTTATTTTATTTATTTGAAAGGTAGAGTTACAGAGAAGGGGGGGAGTCTTCCATCTGCTGATTGACTCCCCAAATGGCCACAATGGCCAGGATGGGCCAGAGTGAAGCCAGGAGCCAGGAGCTCCATCTGGGTCTCCAATGTGGGTACAGGGGCCTAAGCACTTGTACCATCCTCTGCTACTTTCCCAGGCACATTAGCAGGGAACTGGATCAGAAGAGGAGCAGTGGGGACTCCAACTGGTGCCCGTATGGGGTGCTGGCACTGCAGGTAGAGGCTTAACCTGCTATGCCACAGTGCGTGTACCTCCATGATTTTTTTTTTAAGATGTATTTATTTATTTGAAAGGCAGACTTATAGAAAGACAGAGAAAGGTAGAGAAGGAGATATCTTCCATCTTCTGGTTCATCCCCCAAATGGCTACCATGGCCAGGGCCCAGCCAGACAGAAGCCAGAACTCCATGGTCTCCCATGTGGGTGCAGGGGCCCAAGCACTTGGACCATCTTCTGCTGCTTTCTCAGATACATCAGCAGGAAGAGGAGTGGCTGGGACTCGAACTGGTGTTCATATGGGATGCTAGTATTGAAGGCTGTGGTTAACCCACTGTACCCCAATGCCGACCTCTCTGTGAATGATCTGAAGGATGCTTGTGCTCGCCAGGCCCTGCCCTGGATACAGAAAACATTCACGTAATTCTCCCAAGTGCAGGTCTTTTTGCCCCCGGCCAAGGCTGAGGTTCCAGCAGCAGATGAATATTCCCAAGCACTGGATTCGCCCAAGGCCACACTCCAAGCTGCAGCGCCTGGACATGAACCTGGCTGCCGGCTCTGAAGCTGCGCTCTTACTAGGGCTGAACAGCCCCAGTAACATGCAGGCCACACTGCCCATGTGACCCAGCACCAGGCCTTACTCCTTCTTCAGCTCTTGCCTGGCAGCCAGTAAGAGGGAAGGAGTGGAGGGCGGCGCTGTGGCCCAGTGGGTTAGTCCCGGCCTGCGGCACTGGCATCCCACATGGGTGCCAGTTGGAGTCCCAGCTGCTCCTCTTCTGATGCAGCTCCCTGCTCATGTGCCTGGGAAAGCACCGGAGGATGGCCCAAGTGCTTGGGTCCCTGCTCCCACATGGGAGACCTAGAGGAGGATCCTGGCTCCTGCCTACCGACTGGCTCAGCTCCGGCCATTGCAGCTATTTGGAGAGTGAACCAGTGGATGGGAGACCTCTCTCTCTGTGTCTCTACCTCTCTGTAACTCTTTCAAGTAAATAAAATAAATAAATAAATCTTTAAAAACAAGAAAGGGCGGGGCTGAGCACAGGCCCACAGCGCAGCGCTCTAGGAAGGGCTGCCCGCCTGGCGCCAGCAGGGTCGGCAGAGGTGCCGCACTCACATTGCTCATGAGCCCCTTGAAGACCACCAGCTCCGCTTTCAGCTGCTCCACTTTCATGGCCAGCTCCTCTTGGCACGCGTCAGCCTCCTGGGCTTCCTATGAGTGGGGAAGACCACGACATCAGTGGCCACGTGGGCAGAAGCTTACGATGACAAGGAGGCACAAGGAGCCGGCACTGGGGCCAAAGGCCCGTGGGGGGACCCCGAGGGGAGCACAGGCAACAGGCCAGCCGCCCTCACCTCCTGGAGCTCGGTCACTCGGTCTTGCAGCTGCATGCGCACCGTGTACTCTTCTTCCCACCTGACACACAAGGCAAGGAGGGGAGAGAACTCAGGCACTGAGGCCTCCCTGGCCTGCAGTTCCCGGGTCAGGCTCAGCCCCCAGGCGGGGGCCAGCAGCAGCTGTTGGCTGCTTACCAGCTGCCTGCCCGGAACTCCGGGCCACGCCCCAGGACTATATTTAAGAGCAGCTGCTGCTGCTCTAGGCCCTGGCACCCCAGCTCCCCCAGCTGTCTGGCCAGCCTCGACACCCACCACCTGCCCACACCAGACTGCCAGGCCCGCCCGGCCCAGTCTCCCACCTTCAGTGGCACAGATCCGGTCTCCCGCCTCCTGCCCGCACCAGAACAGAGCTTGTCTAGCCCGCTGCCCTGTCTCCCGTGGGACCATTTAACCCTGCAAAGCATCTGCAGGACACACACCATATCAACAGGGCTGTCAGGAGCCTGGGAGGGAGGAGATGCTCAGAGTCCTGTTCCCCCCCCCCCAGTTCCCCCCAAGCCCCCTCTACAGGAGCCGCAGAGAGGAGGCAGGGCCGGCCCAGGGGCCTCAACTCCCCAGCAGCCTGAAAGCAGTAGACAGCAGGAGGCGGACGGAGAGAAATGCCCAAACCCAGGGGGAAAGGGAGATGAGAGCGGCTGCAGTCCCCACGACTCAGAACGCAGACACTAAGGGGGCCACACGTGGGCTCAAGGCACTGGCAGCCACGGGGCAGGGCCCAGGGCCCAGTGGGAAGGGGAGGCGGGAACGACACCACTGTCACCCCAGGACCTATTCACCTGTCACGCTCAGACCCCCCTCGCTGCCTCATCAGAACGGGGGCTGCACCGAGACAGAAAGCTGGTTAGCAAGCAGCGAGGAGGACAGCCAAGAAATCAAAACCAAGAGTGCGCTCCCAGAGCCGGGATTCCGTCTCTTCATGCCCCTCCCTCCGTGGCCCTCTCCAGGCCGGCCCTCCTCGTGCCCTCCTGTGCAGCTCACCCGCAGCCGCACTGCAGTGTTCCTAATAATAACTCCTCGGCAGCACCTCACGCCCCTCCCGGGCAGGCAGGGCCTCCACCCTGGGCGCCTTGGCTCCCGCCTCCTTCCCTGCCGGCCGCCACATGTCCCTCTCCTCTGGCTCTGCATTATCTTTTCTGGGTCTTGCTTTCTTTATCTACAACATAAAAGATTGGGATGTGGTACCCTCCTGTCCCTGGAGTCCCCAGGTCCCTTGGAAAAAGCCAGCAAGACTGCCGAGGGGACATTACCCCTCGTACATCAGGGGAGGCACCAAGTACTGCGTGACAGCGAGATGAACACATTCCGTGAGATTCAGGCTAATGAAAGCTCACAGGGTAAAAACTGAATCACCCGCAAGCTCGCTGGGATTCGATCTGCCCGGGAGCCGGACTTTCTTCCCCCAAGTGGGTTTGTTGTAATCTCCACTTAAATACGGTCTCTCAGGGCTCCCCTGACACGGGCAGACTTGGAGCAATTTCCATGCATCCTGCAGCTACCAAACATCTCTCCTCCAAAGAAATTCTATCCTTGAGTTGAAGAGAGAAGGCAGGGGCCGTTCCTGTACGGGAAAAACTGAGGCCTGGGGGGTGGGGTCACCCGAGGCAGAAGGGCTAAAAATGGAAGCCAGGAGGCCTCAGCTCCTTCCCAGTTTAGTACTCAAGCTATGCGAGGCCTTTCAGGCTAAAGACAGGAGCTACAGTGTTGCTATAAGGAGACCAGAATGAGGGCAGGGGATCTGGGGTGGAAGACCAAGTAAGTGCCAGCAGCACGTACCACATGGTTCTAGCTATGGGCCCTCTGCACGGCAACCCGCTGCAGAGCAATGAGCTAATCAGTCCCCTGGGAATAACTGTTTGCTGCCCTGGACAGCTGCACCAAGGACAAATACTCTTTCAGCTTAAAAAAAAAAAAAAATGCCCTGAGAAGAGCAGTTGTTCCTGTGGTTGTGGATGTATTCCAGAACCATCATGTTCCACGGCTGACTGCATTAATTAACCCCCCCCCCCCCCGGGGGGGGGGGGGCAGGGACAGGGTTCCGGGTGGCACCTGATGGATGGTTTTCGGACAACTGAGACTTATAATGTGGCCTATGATTAAGGAAGCCAGCACGAAGCCTGGACTCAGCCCCAGGAAGCCTGCTGATCTGCGACTTGCCCGGGTCTGGCAGATTATAGATCCCCAAAGGGCGCCCCTCCCCCAGACTCAGCAATAACTTCCCAGAATGGTCAGCTAATCAGCAAAACCACCCACTGCTAACTCAGGCACCAACCCAAAACGGGTTGGGTTGGGTTGCATCCCCAAACTGCAGAGGCAGTTCCCCGGCCTGTCCACAAGGGGTCAGAGTAGCTGGCTTGAGGCTGGAGGCCCCCAAAACCAAAGCTGCCTGTCATCCCCTTCCTCCTCCACCTTGCCCGCATCCCTCAGTCTGCAGGGCCTGGCTCTGCTGCTGCTCCCGTGCTATGGGCCTGGTTACCAGCCACCCAGGGACTCCACATGGTGCCGGGCCACCACTCTGGCCCCTCGTGTCACCAGGTTGGCTCGGCCCCAAGCCAAAGTACAGTCATAGGGTGTGTCCATATTCTCAACTTCTTCCTACCCAGTTGCTTGCTCGTTCCATGCTCACTTCCTCCGCCTTTGGTGCTATATTTACACTTGCCCGGATTCCCCAAGGGCCCTATGATACCCACCCCTCGCCCTAGGAAATCCCCTTCACTCCTCTTTTTCTTGCTCTTTTGACTTACGGCAAGCAGCAAGGGTTTCCTACGGAGGCAGAAGGGGGTCCCTGGCTCCCGGGGGGGACATTCCTTTGGAGAACCCTGGGACTGCTGAGCGCATCCCCTCCCTCACCACCCTCTTCTGATCTCCCTAAAGTCAACCTCCCAAATTAAAGCTTTGGTAGTGTGTGGTGCTTACAGCCCCAAACCACAATACCCCGGATGCAGTATCTCTCGTCTCACGAAACCCCACAGTGGATAAACAGTCCTCCCAACACTGCAGCCCTGGTGAGATGGGGAGACATGCCAGAAGCAAGCATGCACTCCCCAGCGGTCTGTCCCTGGGCCCATCTATTTCCACCTCCTCCTTACACAGCATCAACTTCACCCCTGCTCAGGAACCCGCGCCAAGCCAGCCCCTTGCATGGAGCCGCCACGGAGCCCTGTCCCCACCCTCCCGGCCCCTACCTCCGCTTGTACTCGTCTCGCTCCCGCTTCACTTTAGCCAGCACGTTGTAGAGCGCTCGGATCTCGGGGGTGATGGTGTCGATCTGGACGCCCACCCCGTCGGGGTGCACCCACGACAGGCCAGGCCCTTGCACCAGCGTGGGCTCCAGTCCCGGGCCGAGCCGGCGGGCGTGCGAGAAGGACCAGATGGTGCCGGGCATGAAGCGGGCAGACGAGGAGTAGGCGGCCGAGGCGGAGGTGGCGGGCGCCGCGGGGGACGCCGCGGGGCCGGCCGGCGAGCGCGCGGGCGAGCCCAGCACCCGCGCCGCCGGGGAGCAGACGGCGGCCGGCCGCGCGCTCAGGGGTAGCCCCAGCGGCCGGATGGGGCTGACGAAGCCGGTCTGCACGGCCTGGTCGCGGCGAGCCAGGCCCCTCCGGCCCTGCTTACCCTCCTCCAGAGCCTGCTGCAGCTGCTTCTCCAGCAGCCGGTTCCGGCGCTCCAGCTCGTGCACCTTGGCCAGGAAGCAGCGGAAGCGGAGGTTCAGGGTCTTGAGCACGTTGATGTTGGAGCCCAGGTCGTTGCGGAGCGCCATGGCTGCGGGGGGCGCCGGGCCCGGGCCCGGGCCCGGGCCTGGCGGCGAGAAGGCCGCGGGGCCGGCGGGAGCGAGCGGCGCGGCGGGCAAGTCCCCTCCCCCGGAGAAGTGGTCGCCCCCCAGGGGTTCCCCCAGCGGCCCGGCCAGGCCCTGCTGCTCCTGCTGTAGGAGGAAGAGGTTGGGCCCGAATAACGGATTCATGGCTGCGCCTTCTGCTGGGAGACAGAGCCCGGTGCCAGAGCCGGGATGGAGGGCGAGCGAGAAGAGCCAATGAGGAGGCCGGGGAACGCGGCCGGCCAATCAGGCTGCCGGCGGCGGGGCAGAGGTCAGGGAGGCGGGCAGACAGGAAGCCAATGAAAAGCCTTCACAGGACACGGGGCTCTGGACCCTTCCGGGTCTGAGGCCGAGCCGGAGCGCCAGACCCCAGCTCCGCAGCTGCCTGGAACCCAGCCAGGGTGGCCTGAACCGCAGGACCGCCAGTATCCCACGGGTCCCTGTGGCAGGAGGCCCCTTCCCCCACTGCCTGCCTCTCCCCGCCCTTGCTCGCACTCCACGGTTCTTCCCTGGAGGGGCCAAGGACTGACGGGGCCTGAAGCTGACCCGATTTCTCGGGGGGGGGCGGGGGGGGCGGGGACCCAGCTGTTCCTTTTTACAGGTTCCCACTCCCGCCCACCCTCCTCTACCCTTCAAACAGCAAAGGCAGTACCCAGTCCCCGGAAGAAACACAGTAGCCAGAGGCTGTGAAATGCATATAATTTCATGAGCGTGCGCAGTGGGGACGCCATCCTCGCAGAGGAAAAAGTTCCAGCCCCGTGCCCACAGCAGCGAGTCAGCCCAGTGTGGTTCGCGGGCATCTGTCTAGGCCAGCAGGGGCTGGCTGTGGCCCCTGGACCGAGATCTCTTCCTCTTTGCAGGTGGGGGCCGGTTGGCAGTGAGGGAAGGTGCGGTGGGAACCGGAGGCCCTTCAGCAGTGCCATTCTGAGTCTGGACGGCAGCCTTCTTCAAAGACTGCTCTTGCAAATGCTGCTTGAGCCTCTTGGCCCCTCTGGCCTTCCCAAGGGGCTGAGCGCCATCCTTGGGCTTGGAGAAGGTGGGCACGGCAGGTGTTTCTGTGTCCGTGCCCTTGGGAGGGGCGTTCTGCTTCAGGGTGGCGCCCTTCTTGGGGGTCTGCCGTTTACGTGCCGGTCGCTTGGGCTGCCCTCTCACCTCTGGCTCCCTGATCCCGTCAGCCTTCTCAGCTGGCTGACGGTTCTCCTTGAGCTTGGGGGAGGCCTGGGCCTTTGTGCCCGAAGGTGCAGCGGCCAGTTCTGCGCCTGCCCTTTTGGCGACGCCGTTGAGCTTCTGGAAAGAGGCCTTCTTGGGATGTTGCCGCTTCTGCGCCTGCTGCTTTGCCTTTGCAGCCCCTGCAGCCTTCGGGGCCGGCTGGCTGCTGCTCTCAGACCTGGGGGTGGCCTGACCCTTCAAGTCAGACAAGCCTAGGCCTGCAGGCGTGGCTGTGGCAGAATCTCCTGTGGTTAAAATCAAACAGATGGTTTGAGAAAACAGGCCACAGCGCTGAAAGATCACGATCACAGTGGAAGAAATAAGTAGAAGTTATGTATGAAAACCGGGAACTGCCGCCTCGCAGCCAAGTACTCCACACAATTAGGACAGTGCCCCAAGAGATTACCTAGATTCACGGAACTTACCATCACCTGGCCTCCTACGCAAGTGCTCTTTAAACCTGGTGTTAAGAAAAGGAATTGGTGCCATACTGTGGCACAGCAGGTTAGGCTGTCACCGGCAACACCAGCATCCCAAGTGAACACCAGTTTGAATGCCAGCTGCTCCACTTCCAATCCCACTCCCTGCTGCTGAGCCTGGGAAGACTGAGGAGGATGGGCCCAAGGGTTTGGGCTGACTGACATCCATGTGGGAGACCCCAGACCAAGCTCCTGCCTTTGGCTTGGCCCAGTCCCTGCCATTGCAGCCATCAGGGAGTTGAACCAGCAGATGGAAGATCTGTCTCATCTTCTAATTTTGCTTTTCAAATAAATGTTTTTAAAAGGGAGAAGGTTGGCCGGCGCCGCGGCTCACTAGGCTAATCCTCTGCCTTGCGGCACCGGCACACCGGGGTCTAGTCCCGGTCGGGGCGCCGGATTATGGCCACGGCGGCCATTGGAGGGTGAACCAATGGCAAAGGAAGACCTGTCTCTCTCTCACTGTCCACTCTGCCTGTCAAAAATTTTAAAAAAGGGGGAGAAGGTGGGGGAGGGGGAGAGGTAAATCACTGCCCATCTTTGGGTGGAAAGATTTTGAGGAAGCTGCGCCCCCTTGAGGACCGTAGATAGCAAGACACCCTTTTAGCAGGTGACTCCTAGGGGCTCCACAACAAACCGGAAGCACTGTTAAGTCAGACAACTCTTCATAGGGATTTTGATGAAATCCAGAAAAACAAAGGGGCACACCCACAATAACTAGAAACAAACTAGTAAGACACCAATGAAAACTGACATATTAAATATATACTTAAGTTATAGCAAATTTTGCAATTAAGATCCAGCTCTCTGCTATGGCCTGGGAAAGCAGCGAAGGATGACCCAAGTGCTTGGGCCCCTGAACCCATGTGGGAGAGCAGAAGAAGCTCCTGGCTTAGGATCGGCCCAGCTCCAGCAGTTGCAGCCATGTGGGGACTGAACCAGTGGATGGAAGACCTTTCTCCCTGTGTCTGTAACTCTACATCTCAAATAAATAAATAAAAATCTTAAAAATAAAAGGCTTTTTGCTCTGTGTTAACATTCAGATCTGACTTTTGTAAGGAGCATGATGTGAACAGGAAAACATCCACTCAAATGATGCAGTCTGGATTCAGAGCTGCTCTTCCTAGGGTTCTAGCCCAGCATGCAGCGCTCTCGCAAGCCTGTTTCTGAAGCCCCAGCCTGCCCCCCTTGAAAGCAGGGTCAGGCTCCTCAAGATGGCGGACCGCGCCATCAGCAATTAGTGAGATGGGCTTGGAGAGCGGCCGAGAGTTCTGCAGAGCCCTGTGCCAGCCAGTGCTGAGGCCGCTGGACCAGCAGAGGTGAATTACCAGTAAGTCAGCACTGGGCCAAGAAGCGAGAGAAACCACAGCCTGCATTTGGATGCACTTAGCGCTGAAAGACTGCAGCTGCCTGGCAGAAGAGGGAACGGTCCCTTCCGAGCAGACCTCGAACCTGCTCAGGTGGGGCCTGGGCCGGAGCTGGGGTGAAGGAGCCTCTCCTAGAGTGCAGAGGCTGGATGAGGAAGCTTAGCTGCTGCCCTCGCCTCCAACCCCACCGCAAAGCCTCTCGAAAGGCACTTACCTGGCTGGGGCTGGGGGACAGAGTTGGAAAATTTCTTGAACTTGGCAATAAAGAAGCCATCCATGTTGTGGGTGTGAGGGTAGAAGCGCCGGGTAGAACGCAGACTAGGATGGAAGCGCCTTTCCCGAAAGCGGGTAAAACCCTCCTGGCCAAAGTCTAGGCCTGTGGGCACCAGCCGCACGTTCCTCTTCTTCAGGGCGTAGTCTACCACCCACTCGTTCTCTTCCACCTGGGTATGTGGCGAGGACGAGACAAACGGAAAAAGCAGAGTTGAAGCTGAAGGGAGCTCTCAGGGCAAACGGCCTCCCCCGCTCACCTGCGGCAGTGCCTCACCATGACAGAACAGGTGCAGTAGACGAGGTAGCCGCCTGTCTTGGAGGCGGCGTTGACAGAATCGATAGCACTCAGCAGCAACTCCTTCTGAAGGTGGGCACAGCGTAGGATGTCCTTCTCGTCCTGTCCCAGAGACGGGGCCCCGCACGTCACGATTTCAAAAGGCAGCCTCGGGCGGGCAGGTGGGCCCCTGCCTCCCCGAGTGCTCCTCCACCTCCCGCCAACTGCCAGACCCAGCCACCCAGCTCACCTTGTTTGTCTTCACGGCCGGGTCTTTGGAGATGACCCCAGTGCCACTGCAGGGAGCGTCCAGCAGTACTCGGTCAAAACCCCCCACCACCTGGGGAAAGGGATAGGCCAGTCAGATGTTTTCTGCAACCTGCAATGCGCAGGAATTGCCTATGGGCAAATCTACCTGTTCTGGTATCAGGAAACAGGGAGGTAGCTAGAAGAGCCTCAGCAGAGACACGGGGTGGGGGCGGGGTCCCACCTTGGGGAAATGACGCCCATCGTGGTGGCTGATGATGGTGTTGGTGACTCCCAGCCGGTGCAGGTTGCCCACAACACTCTTGAGCCGCTCGGCGTTGGCATCATTGGCAAGGATCACACCCGTGTTCTTCATCAGTTGGGCTACAGACAGGAGTTCCACGGTGCTGAGCAGTCAGCACCCCCACACCCATCCTCCACCCCAGTCTCAGCCCTTCAGCCTGCTCCCCTCTGCCCACTGTGGAGGCGTGGCCTGACTGCCCCGGCCCTGGCGACCAGCAAGCCTCCCAGTGCGGTTTTCCCATTACGACTAAACATCCCTCTTGCCTCACAGACTCAAAGACTTCCCTGAGTGCTGACAACTCGTACAATGAGGACGAGTGCTTACTAAGGGCTGGGCTTGTCAGTTCGCCATCTTAATGCTCACAACCCAAGTATAACACAACAGCCAACCCGAGCGCAGCTACGCCCACCCCGCGTGTGGATGACGCGAGCCCACCAGAGGCCTGCCCGAGGTCAGACGGGTTGCGAGGGGCACTGGTTGACTCTCCTGTGCTCACCGCCGGGCTGGCTGCCCGTACACTGTGCTCTGGGACTCAGGCACCCGACCCCGCCTCTGGACAGCAGCGAGCCAGAGGCATCCCAGCCCCGCCTGCCCCTCGTACCTATGTAGCTGGTCTTCCCTCCTGGCGCACAACACATGTCGAGGATCCGCTCGTGTTCCTGGGGGGCGAGGGCCATGACAGGTAACATGCTGGAGGCCCCCTGAAGCATGTAGTGCCCTGCCAGGTACTCGGGGGTAGCACCTGTGGAGGGAGACCGTCCTGGGACAAGCTGGGACAAGGATGCGGGCAGAAGGGCGCAGGACAGGGAACACTTACCAATGGGCACTGAAGAATCATACACCACCAGCCCAGTCTTTGACCACTTGCCCAAGGGGTCCAGGTTAACCCCACGATTGATCAGCGCCTAGGGGCAGGAAGGACAGTAAGGAGAACAGGACTCACAAACATGGTCCTGGCGGCAGGTCCAGGGCACCCCTGCTCCCGGAGCACTCACTCCACAGAACTGGGCAGCCTGCCCCCCTCTCACTGTAACTTTCAAATAAATA